GTGCCAGCATCCAGTCAGACTACAAACGCTACGCCCTTGAGCTTAATTTCACAGGCTCTCACTTCACATGCTTATCAATCACAGGTCAGTTTCCCACAGAAGGGAAGATGACAACTAGAATGATCACGGCCGCTGTGGACGTGATCTGAGCAACTCAGAAAGTGATGTGAAAACATGGGACCGCACAGAGCACAGCCAGCCACCGGGAAGGTCTTGAGACCATTTCAACACTGACTTGCTGGAGTGAAAAGGTTTACACTTAATTTGGTTTCAGCTCTGATATTAATGTTTCAAATTAGGCTAAAAACATTATGAGTGAAGAACTTCCTCACAGTAAAATTTCCACTTGGAAAAGCTTATTATCCAATCCCATGATTGAGGGGTAAGTTATCCAGTGTGTTTTCTCAGACCTCATGCCACAGGAAAAGCAGACCTCCGCACACACTAAACCATCCTAGAAAGACTGATGCTTAATAACTGTTAAGTGGACAAAATGAACCCCAGATAGATTGAGGTTGAGGTTTTTTAAAAAATGTAAAGAAGCAATCTACAAATAACAGTGAAAAATAATATTCATAGATTTCTGTATTGGAACTTTAAAATTTAGAACTATAAATGAGGCTGAGTATGCTGGTGTATACCTGTGATCCCAGCACTTGGTTGATGGAGGCAGAGGACCATGAATTCAGTTCTATCCTTGGCTACACACTGAGTTCAAGGCCAGCCTGGGCTACCTGAGACCCTGCCTCAAAATAAAGACAAAACAAAACCAAACAAACAAAAAACCCAAACCACCAACCAACCAACCAAACAAACAAACAAAAAATCCAGCTAGGCATGGCAGCACAGACTTTTAATCCCAGCACCCAGGAAACAGAAGCAGGCAGATCTCTGAGTTCAAGGTCAGCCGGGACTACAGAGAGAGTTCCAGAGCAGCCAGGGCTTTGTAGAGAAGCCTTGTCTCAAAACAAAAACTAAAAACAACAACCCTTCCCAAAAAACAAAAACAGAGAAACATAGAAACAAACAAAAACCACCAACAAAGAAAATCCCACAAAACTATAAATGAAAGTAAAAAATCAAATTATTTGTCAATATAAAGTTATTTTATATTAAGAAATAAAGGTAAATCCAAAAAACTGGAAAAATATTTCAGCATTTTGAACAAAATACTTTAATACCTCTTAGAGTATTAAAAATATCTGAGAATCAATGTAAAGATGAGCAAAGGAAAAATTTGGAAAAAGAATAGATAAGAATTAAAGAGACTTTTCCAGCATTTAACTTTATCAGTCTCCCAAATCAAAGCGTAACAAAGCAATGATGAAGTACCATTTTAGAGCTAAATGTCACAGATAATGTTATGATTCAGTATTTCACATGGGACTGGCAAGGGCATGGTAGACAGTCAAGGGTTACTAAGCCACAGTCTGTTGTCAAGGCTTTAGCTTCCACAGGCAGTCCCACACATTGCTGCCAGAATAACAAAGTAAGACCATTCCTAGGGAACACAACTTGGCAATGCTCACTAAAACTATGGACTCATTCAGCCTCTGGCCCTCCCGCCCAGCTTCTATTATCTATATTTAGCCTATAAATATAGTTGTCCCTCTATGAAATGGCAGGGACATAAGAATATTTACTGCAGTAGCATTGATTGTGAAGAGTGTTCAATGTGCAACAGGACTGTTGAAACATGCTGTGCTATGTCCACGGTATAGGACTCTAAAGGGATATGGAAGCTTTCTATGCGCCAGCATGGAAGGACTCAAGATTATCAATATGGCGTAAAAGACAAAAGAATGGTGTATATAAACCTCATTACAGTCTTCAAAATCCCTAAGATTAAGTTTGTTTTATCACACTATCTACAAAGACATCATTCTGCAATAAGATTTACAACACTAAAACCTAAGAGTTCCCAAAGAAAAAAATAAAGCAATTTTATGGTAATACATGCAATGAAATACTACTTCTACTGAAACTCATTGATTGTGAGTTTGGATAAAGATGCCCTTTGCTTAAGCAAAAATGTGACATTAAAACTTATAGAATATGAATTGAACATGCAATATGGACACTAAGAAAGAGGAGCTAAGGTTATCTAAGCAATGCTCAGCATGCAGTCCAGCATCAGCTGTGTTCTAGGTGACAACGTAACATGCAGTTTAGCCAGACATCTGTCACCAGGCAACATAGTACCACCAGCAGAGGGCCAGGAAATAGATGCAGACAGAGAGATTTTGGGGGAGCAAAAGGCATTGCTATGTTCAGACAGGATCAATTTATTTTACAGTTCATTGGAAGAAAATGAGAATCACGGAGCTTCTGAGAAGAAATGGAAGGGGGCGGGGCCGGCAGAATAGACATCAAGTGTTCTGACAGTTGCTCACAGTGGGCAGTGCTTTTCTCCACCCTCTCAGTTCATGTGATTACTGATCTTTCTTTGGTTTTTCGAGACAGGGTTTCTCTGTGGCTTTGGAGGCTGTCCCGGAACTCACTCTGTAGACCAGGCTGGCCTCGAACTCACAGAGATCCGCCTGCCTCTGCCTCCCAAGTGCTGGGATTAAAGGCGTGCGCCACCAACGCCCGGCTCTGATCTTTCTTTCTTATTCATGGTTTGTCTGCTGTTTGGTTTGAGTCAGGCTGTCACTGTGCAGCCTAGATTAGTGTTGAACTTGTGGTCTTCTTGTCTCAGCATCCAGAGAGCTGGGATTTCAAGCCTGTGCTACCACGCCCAGCTACTTTTCATATTTTGTCAAATTTCCTGTTACCACCAAGTCTACTTGTGTCTGGGAAAATGAAAGCACAGCAGAACCAGGGGTCCATTCACCATGACTCATACAAGCAGGGACTCAGGGCACCCTGCCAGAAGTACCAGCTCTGTTCTGGAGCCCTTTATGTCCTAAGGGCTTAAATTTCAAGAAAGTGATTTTTTTCTTAATTCAAAGGCTGTAAATATTATTATAAAATTACAACTGGTTCACAAGACAGGAATCTAATTCATAAGAAAGTATGGGTGGGGTAAACATGGAAAAGGAGGAGATATGTTCATAAAGCAATATTAAAACTGCTTAACAGGTAGCATGGTGGGGTACCAGAATTTATCAGAGATAGCATGATAAAATGGAAAAAGTCTAACACTGGGTATGTGAAGTGAGAACTTTAATCCTAGTTTCAAACTACATCTAAGGAGGATGCTGCATAAACTGATACATTGATCCATATGTTTATTATCTGACGGACAGGCAACATGAGTAAGATAACAACGTAAATGCACAATGTACAAGACAGCTATGGAAGACAGAAAATATTATAAAGTACTAAGAGTGGGGTGTGAGGTACAGTAGGAGCATCCTACTTAGCTCTGACCATTACCTGGAGTCACATGAGAAGGAATCTCACTTGCAGGATTTCCCAGATGAGATGGAACATGCAGGGCATGTCTGTGGGAGATTGCTAGATTGTTAATGAATACAGGAGGATGGGGCGCACTGTGGGCACACTATTCCCTGGGCATCTGGTCCTGGACTGCAGAAGAAAGGTAGCTAAGGATGAGGGAGTTAGCCTGGCAGATAGTGAGAGCCAGCACAATGTAGACAGGTTGGAGAGCCAGTACAGAGTCCTCCTTAGAACTGTGCCTGGGATGTTCTAAAACAGCCAGGGGAGACAAGGCAGGCGAAGAAGTGAGCAGTACAGATGAGGTGAGTGGCACGGAAGGCTGGAAGGCACACCCATGGAATATTGTAAGCCACTGTAACAAGTGAGTGGAAGGCTAAAGGCTAGATAGAAAAAAAACCCCTGATAAACAGAAGGATAAGATTAGAGGTAGGAGAAGGAAGGCCAGACACACCAGTCCAGGCAGGGGAGCATGAAAGGCAGTGGGTGATTGGAAGAATGACCAGCCATGGGGAAAGAACATTTTACAAAGAGAATGGATTTCATGATGGCATCTTTATTCAAGTACATTATGTATTTAACCATTAACCCCCCCCCCCCATTTTCCTTTCCTGTTCTCTCAGGGGTCCCCTTCCTCTTCCCAAATAGTTCCTCTTTGACTTTAAGCTTCCATATATAAGAGAATATATATTCCTTTTTCTAGCTCTAGCTTATTTTCCTTGAAATGACCATAATTGTATCTAGTTCCCTGAAAATGATACACTTTTGTTCTTCATGGCAGAACTGAAGTCTACTGTGCATATGTGTATACATATCATATATTTTTCTCCTATCCTCTTCCCCACCCCAACCCCCACCCCATCTCGTTTTAGACAAGGCCTCTCATATAGCCTAGGCCAATGATCTCAAGCTCATATGATAGGATCATAGATATGAGTTAGGATACCTTGTTTACATGGGGCTTAGAACTGAAGCCAGGGCTTTCTGCCATGCTAGGTCTGTACTTACTAGCTGAGCTACATCCCCAAGCCTATACTGTCTTGACCTATTCATGGATGTGCTTGTGTCTCCCTAGTAAAACTGTACTAGCTTGGGGCCCAGGAGATGGCTCAGCAGTTGGGAACAATGGCTGCTCTTCTAGAGGCCTTGGGGTTCAATTTCCAGCACCCACATGACAGCTCACATTTGTAACTCCAGTTCCCGCAGATCTGACTGCAGGAAGATGATGCCCAGACATACAGGCAGGCAAAACACCCACAAGCGTTACCAGAGACAACAAACCATGCTAGCACCTGCTCAGAAGCACAGATCCTGTGCCTGTTAGCAACTTCTCACTCATCTGCTTAGCACCTGGTTCTTAAAACTGGCTATGGCTGAATGCGTACGCCATGGAAAGTGGTAAATGGCACACCTCTCGTGGAAAGCTCGGTTAGCTAAATGCAAATGATGCTCCCTCAAAGAGAGGTGGCCAGGCAGGAGGAGTTGCTACCTCGACCCCCTGGGGGAAACCAAGGTGAAGGCAGATACAAATGAGTCTCTTTTTGCATGAATCAACATGGAGGCTGTAACAATCACTGACAGGAAAAACAGGGCTTGGGTCTAAAATAACTCTGCAGGTGGGCATTGGGCTAGCTCTGCCTGAGAAAATGAGGTGAAATTATACAAATGTGAGGTAAGTGAGTTCAAATTGGGCAGGCAGACCAATTCTACTTTGTTTCCTTCTCTAATGTGCATTTGTTTGGCAGCCTGGGAAAACAGCCTCTCCTGGGAGAGGATTTTTGAAGGTTTGTATTTGGCCCTTGATGAGAAGGTTCTAAGAAAAACAAGGGAAAGTCATACTTTGAACCCTGAGAGAAGATTCGTTACTGAGCCAGAGCTCTACTGAAGTGTGAAACCGAGCTGTATGGAAACAGTAACCTCTGCTGTACCTGCCCCATGATTACTCTGGAACTTCATTTTACATAATTCGGTTTTCAGAAGAATAACTTTCTGGGTTAAAATCATTTTAGTTTTCTCTCTTGGACAAAGTAACTTTCGCAAGTATTTCTGTGGCTTCCCTCTGCGGGGCCTGTGGCTGCTGGGTGCTCTAAGTGTCCCCATCCTGGCTGAGCAGGAGTTAGTGAGCCACAGGCACTTTCTTCTTCCCCTCAGCTGAGTGGAAACTGACAATCCTGCAGACTGGGAGCCAAACTGGAACTCCTTCCATCTGTGTCCAGACATTTAAGAATTTGGATGGACTCCACAGGAAGGTTTTACAGAGCACTTAATCAAGTGCCGGGAGGTTACATTTCAGGAAAGCTCTCTTGGATCCAAGACAAAGGCGGGGTGTAAAAAGCGAAAACAAGAGTCGCCTGAGTCAGAGGTCCTTTGGTCTTCTCCTCATTCAAGACTGCGCCTCTCTCCCAGATGAAACAGGTTGGTTCCTTTTTTTTTTCTCCTTCTGACCCGAATATGCATTTTTCATTTTTTTAAGCCTAAAGATTTTGCATTTTTATATTAGTGTGGGATGGGGGGACTTGGTACATGAGAGTTTAAACATTCCCATGTGCCAAAAAAAGTATTTAAGAATATCTTTACATTTTAACCTGCAAATGAAAATATGGATATAATATTATTTTCAATACCATTGCTGATTTGTCAGGGAGCCAATAGGGTTTGCCAGATCATTTCTTTCTGCTCTTTACAATAAATATCTTTGTCTTGAAAATGTTTTAAAAGGACTTAATAGCCTTCCTACATATCTGCAGAAGGGTAATTTCTGTAAATGATCTCTATTCCTATTTTGATTTTCTTATTCTGTTGGAAAGTCAGACTTTCAAACACTTGTCCTTATATTTTATTTGACTCTGTTGCTCTTTATCATTAAGTTCAAGATTTCTGTGCTAACAGAGAGGAAAGAACAAAGTCCTATTGTGTTAATAATTAATGCAGAAACCATGGAGGCTACAGGCAGCTTGCAGTGCAGCTTTTGCAACACCTTTAAGGACAGAGCAGTCACTGCAGACTGCTGCTGCTTACTTTCTGATAAAAAAGAAAATCCCTCACTGGGGAGCACCTCCCCTATGGGAGCACCTCCCGTACGGGAGCACCTTCACATTATTCATTCAAAGAAGAATTGGCTAGTTAAGGACCTCTTTAGAAACTTGATGTTCTTTCCAGTACTGTTTTGAAAATGCTATTTTCATGACTGATTCTGTGAGACCTGAGATTCTTTGAAGGACAAAAATGGCCAACCAAGATAGAGAAGCTAAACAAGAAAAGGTAATAAAAACATTGAAAGTCATTGTAATATTGACATTAACATTTGTGAATTTAGTGCACGCTGTTCTCAGTACACTGCAGTGTATTAGCCAGGGTGTGGTTCCTGAGTTTGAGACAGGAGACCCTTAACGTACCTAGTCTGCATTAACAGTGTTATATGTGTTGGCAAAACCTCCAGAATCTGACAAATATTTAATGAATAGCTGGAGTGTACCTGGTATACTAATAAAAGCTTCAGTCACAACCAGAAATTAAACTGCTCGGACTTCAGAGAACTTAGAGATACATTTTTCTCTACAGGTGAATCTCCTGGGGAGGAAAAACCCAAACTAACTTATTCTTAAGGGAGGGCAGAACACAGTCCCGGGAAAAGGCAGGTGGGAAAGATAGAGATGCACATCAGAGCACAGTGAGTGGGCCAACAGCTGGCGACTCAGCAATTACTGTCGGGGGCGGGGGGCTGGCAGGAGGGAGCCCTGGGTACCACTCTAAGGACCCTGTGTTGATTCTTTCTCGGGATGTGAAGTGCTTCCTGGTACAGAGCTAAGTGAGGCAGCAGTAGATTGGCAAGTCAGAGGTATGATACTGACCAACAGTAAGGATGGTTTTCTCAAGAAGTTGATGAGAAGGATGAGAGAGAGAGAGAGAGAGAGAGAGAGAGAGAGAGAGAGAGAGAGAGAGAGAGAGAGAGAGAGAGAGAGAAAACAGGAGGGCCACAGTGGGCAGATGGCACAAGTCTACAGAATACAAGGACAGGAAAATTCCAAAGCCATTTGCAAGGTAAAATCTGCACTTGCAAACCAGGTGTGGTAGCTCACACCTATAATCCCAATACTGGAGAGGCTGAGGCAGGAGGATTGCTAACTTGGGTTACAGAGTAAGATTCTGTCTCAGAAATCAAAAACAAATTAAAATAAAGCAAGTAAGTAAGAATGAAGGAACTTCCAGACTAACTGGGATCTAGGTAAGTGAGAAGTCCATGACAGGGCCAGTTTTCAGCGTAGACTGGGAGGCGGGCTGACTAAATGAGGCTTTCCTGTAGAAAAGTCAAGAGTAATACTCTGTACAAATGCCAAGCTAATTTATCTAAGTTAAAATTATGGTAACACTAGAACAAAAAATTAAAACATTCCCTTTTCAAATAAAAAAAACTTAATTTATTGTAGATATACAACCCAGACCTCGCCTCAAGAAATAAGGTAGAGAATAATCTAATGACTCCTAATGTCAACCCCAACCTGTAGATCTATGCACACATATGTGCCCTCACACCCACACACATGCGTGCAGACCACACATACAAACATTCAAAAAACCCCGCAAAACAAAACTCATATTTACTTAAAAGTCTTCAACTTTATCTAGGATTTAGTAACTAGGGGGATCCCTTAGGATATTGTCTGTTGGCCACGGACAGATTCCAGTTCCTGCACACAGACTTGTAAGAACTAAGGATGGGGAACTGACTCAATGCTGGCTCCCATCAAAGTTTTCAGAGTGAAATCCAGGCTCACATATGTGACAGTCACATGCTATTCTCTAGAGAAAACACAAGCCGTATGTTGGGCAAAGCGGCTTCCTTTTAAGCAATGCTGAAATGAGTGTCTTGTGTTCTTCCCGCAATCCAGCTTGGTGCCATGGCTCTGGAGCAGAACCACTCAGTTGAATACTACTATGAGGACAATGAAATAAATGACACTTATGACTACAGCCAGTATGAAGCAATCTGCATAAAGGAAGAGGTCAGGCAGTTTGCGAAAGTCTTCCTCCCTGCCTTCTTCACAATAGCCTTTGTCATTGGAATGGCAGGGAATTCCATAGTTGTGGCAATTTATACCTATTACAAAAAACAGAGGACCAAGACAGATGTGTACATCCTGAATCTGGCTGTGGCAGACTTGTTGCTTCTGGTCACGTTGCCATTCTGGGCAGTTAATGCAGTTCATGGGTGGATTCTAGGGAAAATGATGTGCAAAGTAACTTCAGCCCTATACACAGTAAATTTCGTCTCTGGGATGCAGTTCCTGGCTTGTATCAGCATTGACAGATACTGGGCAATCACTAAGGCCCCCAGTCAATCGGGAGCGGGGAGACCCTGCTGGATCATATGTGGCTGTGTGTGGGTGGCTGCTATCTTGCTGAGTATACCGCAGCTGGTTTTTTATACTGTCAACCACAATGCCAGGTGCACTCCCATCTTTCCCCACCACTTAGGAACATCCCTGAAAGCGTCCACTCAGATGCTGGAAGTCTGCATCGGCTTTGTGGTTCCCTTTCTTATCATGGCGGTGTGCTATGCCATCACTGCAAGGACACTCTTCAAGATGCCCAACATTAAGAAGTCTCGCCCCCTCAAGGTTCTGCTCACAGTGGTTGTAGTTTTCATTGTCACCCAGCTGCCGTATAACATTGTCAAGTTCTGCCAAGCCATAGATGCCATCTACTTGCTGATCACCAGCTGCAACATGAGCAAGCGCATGGACGTCGCCATCCAAGTCACAGAGAGCATCGCGCTCTTCCACAGCTGCCTCAACCCTGTCCTGTATGTCTTCATGGGGGCCTCTTTCAAAAACTATATCATGAAAGTGGCCAAGAAATATGGATCCTGGAGAAGACAGAGACAGAATGTGGAGGAAATTCCTTTTGATTCTGAGGGTCCTACAGAGCCAACCAGTTCTTTTACCATTTAAATTTAAAACTGCTCTCTGCTTTTTGCTTGGGGAAACACACACACACACACACACACACACACACACACACACACACACACACACACACACACGATGTTTCTTCCTCAAATAAAATATCTGTGTTATACTGAGACTCAAACGTCAAATACTAGACTGTTGTTGCAATGTATTACAAAGAAGGGGCAAGGGGTGGGGTATGAGGAAGATAGATGACAGAGAGTAAACAACAAACGGGAAATGTGGAAATTAAAGTTAATGACAGGAAAACAGCATGGCAAAAAGGAGGAAGCATTATGCTAGAAAGAGGAGCCCCTTGTGATGGTGGGGCGGGTTTGCATCTTGACGGCAGTGACAGCTACTCAAATCTAGATGTGCCACATGTGAATTTCAACTCCTGATTTTGATAGCAGCTATAATTATGAAACATAAAACATTGGCCAGTGAGCCCCCAGAACCATCCTATGTTTTAAGTCACTGGGTAAGTAGCACCCAAAATCATCCTATGTGATAAGTCCCTGGGTAAGGAGCCCCTAGGGACATCCTGTACTAAATTTGTAACTTTCTGTGAGTAGACAGCAACTTCAAAATAAAATGTCAAAAAAAAAAAAAAAACCATCATGTTGTGAGTCAGGTGATCTAAAACCAATTAATAAAGAAACATGTTGAGAGAATTATAATTATTTGTAATTATCTAAATTTTAAAATATTTTGTCTGTAAAATTCCAAATCTTATATAATCACAATAAAACTTACTCTATTTTTTGTTTCTTAATTTATAAGTGATTTTATAAGATATAAAATGGCAATTATTCCAACCGTTAATAAAAAGGCCAAACTCATAAACTTTTCTGAGATGTTCACACAGCCTGGTGCCTATATACATTCAATTTGCTTTGATGATGTCACCAAGAAAATTTATCCAAATACATGCTAGGTTCATTATGCATATTCTGGAAGCATACCTTAAAAATCATAGTTATCTGGAGTCTAATTTTATGACTTCCTAAAGAACTTCCCCATGTATATTGGCCTACTACTGAGAACTGATGAGCAAATATACTATCCTATATATAAAGGATATTAACTTTCATTGAAAAATGCATATTTTAGGCAACAAAATATATATCACATTTACTGTTGTTGCTGACATTTAAGATTGAACCCTAAACACATACTAGGCCTTTGTTCTACCACCACTGACCTACACGAGACTCCACAATTTATCAAACTACCCTTTTTTGGCACTGTTTCTCAGTCTGATAATATTTCAGAGGCTGGGTCTAAAGCTGTGATTGTGAGGCAGTGGCTGGAATCATGGCGTTGCTCCAGCAGGGGGGTAATGGAACCATGGAGAACACTCACCGCTGCTCCACCACTTCTTGCCATGAACTATATAGCTATCTCCATCTTGCTGGATGCTACATTCAATGTTTGTGGCATCACTTGATGAGACATTGGGCTCTGTAAAGGAACAACGGCTTGATTAACGGGAAGACAAGAAAGGGCAAGCTCTTCCAGGACAGAGGCACACTGGTTTTTTATTTTATTTTTGAATCTTTCCATCTTACCCTTTTCTCCTTGGTCCTCTCCTAATACACTAACATATACACTGTAAGCATTTGATAAATATAAATTGGAAAGTAGAGGAATACAGTGTAGGATTAGTACTGACAATGGTGTCTTTGGAGCCTTTGCTGATGTCCAATTCAGGATACAACTCACTCATCATTTTCCCAGTCACCAAAAGTAGATATGAATACTGCCTTTGATTTGCCACAGTGAAAATCTGCTTTAACTGTTGGCAGGCTGGATTTCTCTACTATCACTAACAACTTCTACCTGCACTTTGTAAGTACTACTGGGAATGTGTCATCCAGGTTACCCCTTATGACAATCAGATCTTCTCCATACTTAGGTCTCCAGAAGGCTTTCTGTGCAATACCAGTAAATATCCTTAAATAGTGTTTACTGCATGGCATGTGGGAACCATTCAAGTTTTACCTTGTTCCTATATTGTTCTTATTTTTATTTTTATATGTGTGTGCCTGCATGCTGGATCATGTGTGTATATGAAGACCAGATACCTTCAGTTGTCCTTCAACATCTGGCTTTTTCTTTTTCTTTCTTTAATTTTTTTTTTGAGACAAGGTCTCTCATTGGCCTGGTATTAGCCTGGTACTTGCTGATTGGATAGCTTGGCTGGCCAGTGAGTTTCAAGGATCTTCCTGTAACCATCCCCAGTGCTGTGATTAAAATTGTGCGTCATAACATCAGACTTTTTATGTGGATTCTGAGAATGGAACTCAGGTCCACATACTTGTGTATCCAATACTTTAAAGACTGAGCCATGTCCCTGGCCATTTGGGATACTTCATGGATTCTTTTTGAAGCTCCAAACGCTGTTTTCAGAGAAGGGGGATGGCAAGCTTATTTTGTGACCTTAGGTTGGTGCTTTGAAACTCTATGTCATTACACCATTCTATAGGTGTTCGATAAATACCTCTTGATGACTTAAGTAGAAAGAACCTTTGTTACTATATATGTGACTATATAATATTTGCATATTATATAAAAACAATAAAATCTAGCCGGGCAGTAGTGGTGCACGTTTTTAATCCCAGTACTCAAGAGGAGGAGGCAGGTGAATCTCAGTTTGATCCAACTGGATCTACAGAGTGATTTCTAGGACAGCCAGGGCTACACAGAGAAACCCTGTCTTGAAAAACCAAAACCAAAATAAATGAAATCTGATTGTGAGTGAAAGATCAATATGAACTTTACAATATGACAAACCAAACTGAACTTAATTCTAAACTCAAGGTGAGATGCGATTTTTGTCTTAAAAGAATTTAAAAATTACTATTTCCAGTGTACAAATGTGCCAACAACATTGTCATCCTCATGTCCCTGGCTTTCTCCTCTACCCGGTGGTTTCAGCAATATTTCCATTGGTTTAACTTCTGGTTTTCTAGGATTATGGAATAGTTGAGTAGTTTATAGTTGTCTAAATATCACAAAGATGAAAATCAATGAACAGCAGTTATAGAAACAACACAAATCACCCCACTGCTGACACTGAAGCAGACTACCAGGATGCTCTGGAGCTCTCCCAAAAGACATTTCAGGACGACAGCATTTCAAACCAGGCTCAGGATAAACACATTTATGGCTGTGGGCAAAGTTGGCTACACACCACACTGCTTCAAATCATCCATCCACGATAACCCAGGATGAAGGGGACAGGAGACAGGGCTGGGACTTGCTCCTACCTGTCATACAGAATGAAGAGGTGATGTCTCCACGAAGGAGAGGCTCCAGCCACTGCTTCTTCTGCTGCTCGCTGCCATACAGGTGCAGTACCTCCATGTTGCCTGTGTCTACATGCGAGAAGAAAGTTGTTTGACAGTTAAAGCTATCAGTACTAAACCCACATTTATGAAGATAATACAGACTATACCTTTTCTTCTTTTTTAAAGTTGTTTTACAAGACAGGGCTTCTCTATGTAACCCTGGCTGTCCTAGAACTCATCCTGTAGACTAGGCTGGCTTCGAATCCACAGAGATCCACCTGCCTCTGCCTCTCAATGCTAGGATTAAAGGTGTGTGATACTACCACCTGGCTCAGACTGTAGCTTTATAAGTAAAATGTTTGTGTAAATATTCTGAAATGTACATTAAGTTTAATGTGTAATGATGACATGCTGTATCACTACAAGTACATGGCATTCAGTTCATTATTTCTTTAACTTTTTCTGAAGCTTGCGTGCTTATCCAGTTCATTCCACAGCTTTAAGGAGGTCTAACTCAACTAGAACTGAAGTAGCTGTTCCAAGCTTAAACCCTGCCTGCTATGCTTAGATGCTATGTCAGGATTGACTTCCATGTTCCTGAAGAGCCTTCAGCTCCCACATGCCCATGTTGTTCTCAGGCACAGGATTTGGCTTGGGCCAGGTCTCTGTGAAGGTCTGCTAGTTGTGGTAAGGACTGCTCATAGGCTACGCTCTCTGTAAGAACTTGTACGTACCCACTCTGAGAGACCTCCTTGCTCTGAGCTACTACAATTCTCCTTTACCTTTCCTAGCTTGTTTCTGCTGTTTACTCAGTTTGTTTCTGAGACAGGTTTTCTCTGCGTAGCCCTGGCTGTCATCAAACTCCTGCTTCTGCCTTGTTAGTGCTGGGATTGCAGGTCTAAGACTAAGATCTAAGATAGATCTTAATTTGTGGACCCAATTCCTCTGTGAGAGACAGAATCCCTGCTCTGTAAGGAAGCAGAAACCCTCAGGACTCCACTCCAGTCCTGCAGAGTGCTGTCTAGTCCACCTGAGCGGTACTGAAGAGTACACCACACACTCTACCTTCTGCAGCTGAAAAAGCACACTCTATATTGTGAGCAAAATGTTCAAATGCTTTTCTCTGATTTCCATTTCTGAAAACTTTTCTTAAGATTCTGCTTGAATCCTTTCAAGATCTTAAGGAAGATTTTCAGTATCACCTCCTGTTGGTGACTTGGAGGATGGTTGCTCAAATGCTGATGAAAACTGACAGTTCTGATTTAAGTCAAGAGATATTTGTAAGCACTAGAGAAATTGCTCAGGGTTAAGGGCACCTCCTGCTCTTGCAGAGGACCTGGTTCAGTGCCTACCACTCACTCCAAGCAGCTCACAACAGCCTATAACTCCAGCTCCAGGGATGCTACATCTTCTTTAGGAGACTTGTACACATACATGTGTATACACACATAAATACAAAATGTCTTTAAATCTTAAAACCATCCTTTGCACTCTGTTCAGATACTAATACTGAATCAAGAGGCACAGAATCCCTAGCACATCAACACAAACCTAATGAGTGAGGGAGAAAAGAAGTCCTCTATTATAAGTAACAAAATGAACTATTTGTTTTGTTTACTTGTTTGAAATTTGGTGTAACTTGTTATAGCTCAAACAAAATAAGGAATTAAAACTTTTCAAAATTAAGCTGGGAGCAATGGCATACATCTATAATCCTAGCACTTGTTTGTAGGGGTAGAGGTAGAGGCAGAAGGATCAGAAGTTCAAGGTCGTCCTCGGCTACATGAGAGCTTACTTCAAAGAGAAGGAAAGAATCTAAAATGATCAGTTTTACTCTGAGAAACTAACCAATTTTTTTATCTATGGTTTAGGGAAAGGCCTATAAAAAGCCAGTCCAGAGACCCTGAATTATTTTAGTGACAGGTTTAGAATCTAAGAGTAGTGCCAGGCGTTGGTGGCGCACGCCTTTAATCCCAGCACTCGGGAGGCAGAGGCAGGCGGATCTCTGTGAGTTCGAGGCCGGGCTGGACCGATAGCCTCCGAAACAATACAGAGAAACCTTGTCTTGAAAAAACCAAAAAAAAAAAAAAAAAAAAAAAAAGAATCTAAGAGTAGCTATTTTCAGCAGGGAGAAAACAGAGAGGCAAACTGGAGGTTACATGTGTTTTGTAAGCGTTGGTAACTGCGGGTTTTGGAAAGCCTAGGTAGAAATCAGTCATTCAGACCTCAGAATCCTCCCTAAGAATGTAATCAGCCACCACTCCCTGTCTGTAGGCCTGGGAATGCTCCAGTACACGGCGTCCCAGACTTTGCAACAGCTCTGCCACAGAAGGGAGACTCTTGGCTTCTTGGTTTTCCTTGCCTTTCTGCTTGAGAGAGTTGCTTAGTCATTTCTTGGTCAAAAACTAATTTAAAAATTTCAACAATCTTGTGGTATTATTTAAAGAGAACAGCAAACAGACTCATGAAATTTCAATCTTAGGAAAGCCTCCTCGAGTGTCTGGTGACAAGTGACTCCACAAATGAAATGGAATGACCACAGCAGAGCCTCAAACAAGCGTCCTACAGCCTAACTTGGCACAAGTATGCTCCATCACCGTGACACAAATCTACCTAACAGAATGCGGCTAATACTCGAAAAACATAGTGTTGGGAACAGGAAAAAAGCACCTAGGCCTTAGTTCTGTCATTTTGACTTCAGACTCCATTTTTACCTGAAGGGTGAAACCAAGTTCAGGTTCCCAAGCCCTAGGGGAGCTGGGAACCTTCCAATAGCTGAACCATCTCCTCCTTAAACCACAGAGATAGTCATTATGCATCTTTAGTTCTTTAGATACATTATGGCTGTTCCTAACAACAGAAGGAACAAATAAATCTGATTGGTCTAACTGAAAAGCTTGCATTGTACATTGACTGACATTGATGGAACACTCAAGGAAGTCTCTAGTCTCTACATCCCAATTGGTAAAAACTATAACTGTAACTTAGCAAAAAAAAATGTGATTTTTGTGTTTAAATATTTGCTTCAACTGGCTTTTGGGGTCACAGCCCTGATGGATCAGGGCCTCCTGCCCCCTTCTTTTGTGCTACCCTGCATCAAATCTTGCCTTTGGTTAACCTCACGAGGCCTGAGTTTCACCAATACAGGGGAGTGTTTGTCTATCTACCTACAAATCCATGTTGCAATTATATATGCTACACATTGGGTTACAATATAAAGTATGTCTTACTAGGAAGAGTAGGAAGAAAAGCTTTGACCTTCAGGATTAGCAGTTCATTTCCTTTCCTATAAAAATCACGTAGCATGTGTAGTGTGTCATAACAGCATCGTGGTTTGGGATAAATTCTTCAGACAGTGAGGACACATTTCTCTTACAATAGCCTCCTGACAGGATTACAATGTAGGACAACAGTGATTTGATAAACTGGTGTAGACAGAAAGGAAACCATGCCAGGGATAAGCACTGTTACCAAAAATCTAAGAACTACCTTGAATTTTACAGGCAAGTATGTCAAAGTCTAGCATGGTGCCACTTTCTGGATCTGGACTCCTCTCTCACAAATCCACTACACTGTGCTCATTATGGCACTGATACTTCTGGGAGAGCCTTAGCACCAGGCCACACAATAGAGCACGGGAACTATAGGTTATCCTGCCAATTAAGTTTACAGTGTGCTGGCACAATGATGGCTGCTAGCCTCTGACAGAAACAAAGCCAGCCTTTTGAGGGAAAAAGCTTTGCATAATGGAGAGGTTGCAGAGTAACAAAGAGCTCTGGAATTCCTATTCCTTCCAAGTAGCCATAGAAATACCCAACCCCAGTCAGGAAGTGGGGTGTTTATATAACCAGTCCTCTTGGTGGCTACTTTTGTCTACTGGCACTCTTAATGCAGTGATACTGATGAGAAGGACAGCCTCAAATCCACTTTATATTGCATTTAGATTAGCTGTAAAATTATGGCAAAATCTGTAAATTAATGCTTCGTATAGGAAGATTTCCTTATAAAAAAGAGACTTTAAACACTGTTCAAACTATCGGAGAAAATTGCTTGTAGTAACCTGGTGCTTGGCAGTTAAAAACATCTGGAGCAAAAAAACATTTTCCGGTCTCTTCGGCAATCAAGGCATAGTCCAGCTGACTGAGACCACTCGCAGCTGGCAAGAACAAGTTCCACAGGCCCTCTGCTTTGGCCATTTCCTGTCAAGGGGATGGACAAGGGATCAAAGAGTGCCAAACAAAGTAGCTTATTCTAAACAAACATTGGCGTGAATTTTTTTTTAATTTAAAAACATTTATGAAGTTATTTCATTGTGTTCTATATTGTGTTAAATCAAGGGGTTACTAGTTCATTAAGTCAGTAGTTTTTTAATTATTAAGGAAACATCTTGCTTTCCAGGACTCCTTAGATTTGACTCTAAGACTAAATTTGCATACTTTGGTGCTTCTCATTCAATCGGAATGATTACAGCCACCCCCATACACATTTGAGTATAATTCTGCTGAATGTGTTATGTGCTGCAGTTCCTTACGTGTATTGGTGGTAAGACCTGAAAGCATGAAGTGTGACTTGACAGCACACTGGACAAACGTCCCGCTTTGTCCCTGCTCCCTGCTGAACAAACCCAGGGCCTTGCCCGTACATGAGGAGAGCTCTTCCACTAAGTATCAGCCCAGCCTCCACGTCCCACTGCCCTGCTCTGCTTTCATTTCACGGCAGTGAGGGACACCAGGGAGCAGCATGAAGAGACTGTCTTAATCAGAAACACATTCAGGATCCCAGGTAGTCCAATGTTGATAGCAGGCCCTCTCTCTCTCTCTCTCTCTCTCTCTCTCTCTCTCTCTCTCTCTCTCTCTCTCTCTCTCTCTCCCTCCCTCCCTCCCTCCCTCCCTCCCTCCCTCCCTCCTTCCCTCCTTTCTTCTCTTCCTCCCCACCTCTTCTTTTATACCTAAAATGGAATCATACTGTAGCTCGGGCTCACTGGTCTAATTTGTAGCAATCATTCACCTTCAGCCTCAACCACCCTCCCAAGTGCTGGGACTACAGGTGTGAGCCACCATAGCCAACCAAGATTTTTTTTAAAAACCCAGATTTTAAAAACCCTTATTTTAAGGAAGTTATCCTTGTTCCAGGACAGCTAGAACTACATGGAGATATCCTGTCTCGGAACCACTCCACCACTGCCAAGAAAAAAGTCATCCCTGGAGGATGAGTTGCTATCATGCCTTTCATCCATGCACTGGGCAGGCAGAGGCAGGAGGATTGCTATAAGCTGAGACCAGCCTGATCAACATATCAACACCATAAAAAAAGGAAAAAAGTTATTGTCATTGTAGTTATCCTTTACCTACACTATAACAATAATGATTGAGGTCTCCCAAACACTTGCATATGCATTTCTTGATGATGAGTGCTTTTTTGTCTCTCTTACCTTTAGTTTTTCAATCACTAAGGGGTGTCCCCACTTCTCCACTGAGTTTCCATTTTGAGCATAGTATTCTGCTACTTCCTTAAGACAGAGAAGAGAAAATGATTAGGGCAACTTAATACAAAATAAGCAATGTCATGAGTGGTGTGTGTGTGTATGTGTGTGTGTGTGTGTGTGTGTGTGTGTTTAGTTTTCTGAGACAGGGTCATGCTATGTAGCTCAGGCTGGGCCAGAACTCCTAATCTACATCAGCTGGGATTACAGGCATGTGTCATATCCTGGTTAGTAATGTTTCTTTTTAATACTAGATGCAGAGTAACAAAAATTCTAAATGTTTGCTCCTCAAAAAATTATGCTGCCTCAATATTATACAGTAATAATCTTATGCCCAAGATTTAAGTGTTCTGCTTCCAGTGACATTGTATACCAGCAGGCATAGAAACTCTTCAACTAAAAAGGCTGGGTGAAATGCTACCAATTAAAGATCTATTAAGCAATGCACAGTTGTTCTGGAAAAAAAATAACAAAGCAGCTTCACCCTTCAGATGAGTGACAGGATGGATGCTAAGCTTGCTCTCTAGGCTGTGGACATGGGCCCTGGCTCTCAATGGGCCACACCATCAAGGCACAGGTGATAAAGCCAGGGGCTGGAAACAGCAAAGGGAGCATGGGATATTTCATTCCACCAAAGCTAAGAGGGTTTAGAAGTAAAAACCTAAGGAAGGAACAAACAACAGAGAAACAAAGAAATCTGTACCCTTGGAGCTAGAGCATGGGGACAAAGCCCCACATACAGCTCTCAGTTTGCAACGAAATAGAAAAAAGAAATGCTGTGCCCTGAAATCTGCCTTCACCCAAGCATCGGGTGCAGATTCCAGACCTGTGCAGTTCCCAAACCTCAAGCCCAAATTAAGTTTACAATGTTCTGGCAACAGCAGCTGCAAGTATCTGGCAGAAACAAAACCGGTCCCCTTCGATGGACAGAGGAGTTTTGTACAAAAGCTCATGTAACTCCTTAGAAAAATATTTCACCCCATAGTCTACCCTGAAAAGTCACTAATAATTCTGGGAAACCAGTCATCCCAGGCAAGAATCAGCAAAAGCAGCAGGTCAACAAAAACAATCACGCTTCCTTAAAACAACAATAATGCTCACATTCACAGCACAAAATATTTGTGGTCAGTAGATTCTAAGAACAAAGGAAGGAATTGCAAGTACGGCAATAGGCTAGTAAAACTGACAAAGCAAACTTGAACCGCAACCAAAGAAACAAAAACCTTAGCAATCAAGCTGAAAAATGTAATGAAGGTTTCTCAAAGGTTGGTGGGATCAGAAACCCCTGGGGACCTGGATGGAACAGGTGTGCAGGTTCTGAATTACTTCGGTGAGACTGGGCTTCTGTTCTTTAAGAGCTCTCCCGTCATTTCTCACATTCTCCAAAGTTAGATAATGCCTGTCTATGGGAAGCTGAAAAGTGTCTGAGAAGACTCAGAAAAAACATTGGGAGGAAGATCTAAAGAACTTACTCAGCACAGACACTCAAGATAAGAAAAATGTGAGTGAAAAAAAAAAGGATATGATGAATTCAAGGAGGTTGAGTGCTGAATTCCATGGCAACAACGAAGTTAGATCAATGGGAGAGGACAGTGAGATGGCTAAGAGCATAAGGTGCTTGCTGCCAAGTCTGATGCCCAGGGTTCAATCCCAAGGACCTGACGTCTGTATGTGTATACCCCCAAACAAACAAAAACAAACATAATAACAACATTAAAAAGAAATTAACAGGTGAATATCTTCAACTACCCAGAGAAAGTAATTAACAACCTAGAATTCACATCCCAAGCCAGCTGTTTTGTGGTTGGGGGTGGTAGTGACACATACTTATAACCCAAGCACTCGAGAAGCTGAGGCAGGAGGATCATGAGTTTGAGGTCAGACTGAAATAATTAGGGAGACCCTGTCTCAAAATATAACACCAAATTTCAAAGAGTTAGGGCAAAAAGGTTTTTTTTTTAAAATAGGGAAAGTACTACTTATTCCTTCAAAAACAAACAGTAGCAGCAGCAAAAGCCCCAGCAGACTCTAGTAAAGGCTCCTGGCTCCAGAAGAAACATCTTGTTAGCATCCAGGAACACCTTGGCCTCACTCTTGGTGACCTGGCAGAGTGGGTCACCCCTGCACACATGGCAAGCCGTACCCTGGTTCTGTGCCCAGCTGCAAAAGATCCCTTTAAGAGCCGAGCTCCACCTACTTCCTCTCAGTTCCCCTGAGGAGGCAGGCAGGTCTCTGTTTCTTTCTCTCTTCTCCCTCCCCTTTCTCCCTTCCCTTCCCCTACTCTCCTCTCTTCCCCCAATAAAACTTCCCATGTAAGTTCTGCCTGCATGGCGTTTTTGTCTCTCAATGGAATCCGCCAAGCTCCCCCTTGTGCCACATACCATAACACATCTGAGTTGCAAGAATGAATGAATGAAAAGAAATAACAACATGGGTAAACCTAAATAACACTATTCAGGCCCAACAGTAACCTCTGATTTGTACGACCAAAACAGTACAATGAAAACACTGAACGATAATTACCTGATATTCTAGACATGTATTTATAAATACTTACAGCATCTTGGTATCACTGCTTTCCTTACATTTCGGCTAAGAGAATTACAGGGTTAAAGGCCATGGGTATTGTAAAACCTTTTTATGTGTATCATCAAGTTACTGTGGACTATTCTTCTAAAATGCATTGCTCTCTGGCATAGACTACCATGGTCCTCTTGGGGAAGCAAGGCTAGTCTGGAGTGCAGTTCTGTATGAGGTAGAGGCCTGCATTTTCAAAGGCTCCAGGACTGAGAGCACTTGTCACTTGTTTGTTAGGAAGTCAGTTGCATCAGAAGGTTTCCTGTTTGGGGTTGCATATTATTTTTATTCCCAGGGTTGCCATAAAAAGACAATGCTATTGTGCTTGGTAATAAATATGTTTATGATGTCCTCATTCTGACTACCTCTTTATGATACACAGTTCTGAGAAGTCAAATTATGCCTGTGTTTACATGCCTAAGGAGGGCGGATTCATCTTAAATCATGCTGAAAAGATAGGAGGAGCAATTAATTACTCCTTCAACACTACTATAGTTTTCCTTCCCAGAATTAACTACCCTTAACCCAAATCCCCATGAGCTGAGCCGCCTTGAGGCTCATCTGGGTCTGCCCATCTTTCTGAGTCAATTTTCCCTGCTCCTTCCCTTCAGGTGATGGCCCAAACCTAAGCTTTTTCTGGTATGTGGTATTTCCTTAGTCTGTTTTACAGTCTTCCTCCCTGTCATGTGGTTGTCTGATCATGTGGCTGACTTCTATGCTGTGTTGAGTGTCACGGCATGGTTTTTCATCTCTCTGAGCAGTTGCTGAGGTTTGTAACTTGACTGCCCTGGGGTGTTTTCCTTTTCACGTCTAATAAAACTGCCCCACGCTTCCATTCGAGTCCGTTCTTACATCTTTTAATAATGAGACTATGAACCCCACAAGAGGCCCTCCATTTACCCATGTCATCTGGGGACCATGAAGGGACCCTCTCAAACTCTGGCAGCAGTATCACCATGACCCATGTGTGCTCTTTACCCTGTGTTGCATGTTCCTGTCATGCATGTGGGTTTCAGTGTTCCTCACGGATTTTCTAGAGGAAGGACTGACTTGGCACGTTCTCAGACATACGGGTTATGTGTTCATTTTAGGCTATCCAAGGAGTTGCCAAAGGTCACAGATACTGTCTTGCCAACCTTTTTTTTTCTCATTTTGGAAAATACATAGAAATACAAAGAAAAGTCATCAAGAATTTTAGTAGCTGAAGATACATGATGGTAGAAGGCTGTTACAGTTTATGATACAATCTTATTTTCTAGACACGACCATTTTGGTTTGGCAACTCAATCATAATAACATTGAATAGAATTTTATGTTTTCTCTCTTTTATTTTGAGAAAAGCTATTTACCTTTCTATAAATTACTCCAGATGTGGATATTCTACATCTGGAACTTAGTACTGTTTATTCATCCTACAGGATAAAACATACACATGCTGGTACAAGTGTTTGAATGAAGAAATACCACATGCTATCAGATAATGGGAACATAGCTTTGAAATCTCTGCCAACACTAAATGGCTTCGCTTATCACACAAGCTTGGGCGAACTTCTCTTTTTACAGTCTGTCGGGATCTTACGTGTTTTTACTTTTACTGTGAGTTCTTTACATATATTTCAGCAGCTGAATGGCACTGAGTTCAGAGGCACTGCACTTTACTCTGACCCTCCCTTCCCTGCTGTAGTGTCCCTGGAACACCTGCTCACATTTATGGGTGAGAGAAAACCCCTTTGCTTCCCTCTGCCCATCTTGGCTCGTCTTGAGGACCACGAGCTGGTTGCCGGCATGGGCACGTGGTGACAGGCTTTGTTTTAGTGTGAGCACGTAGAATTAGATGGACTGATAGGTGAGCTGGGATCTCCATCCAAACCCCACAAATAAACAAGAAGCCAAACAATATCAGGTGCTGCTCTAGTCCATTCACCTTCCTGATGAAGTCCTGGCTTCTGTGAAACATACAGTATTTGTTGTTTTCAAGTAGCCCTAGAAACTGGATAAGTCTTCCAGTACCTTGATTTTTCTCTTCCCCTTGCTCTCCTCATCAGCCAAGTACATTAAAGACTACCATCTTTAATCACAGGCAGTTACAATGAGATTAGCTGTACTTCTAAGCACACCTATTTGCCTTGAAAAAGAAAAAAACTGAGGCCACACAAACTATCCAGGACAAGGTCACCAACCCACACCAGGCATGGACTGGAACCAAGACTTTCACTCACAAGCCCGCACATGCACCCTTGTTTCTCACACACTGTCAAAAGCGCATTTCCCTTCTCCCCTTTCCTCCCTATCTCTCTGTAGGGGCAAAGCCCTGTCTGTCTTCTCATTTCCAGCTGTTCCCTGGGAGTCCAGTCTGTCATGAGGTGCCCAGTACTATTCTCAATGGGTGTTGTCTCACTGCAACCCATGAACTTCAGTGTGACCCCTTACAGCAATAGCTTATGGGAAAAGAAAGGGAAGTGTTTATGTGGCTTGAAATGACAGGCCAAAGATCATGACCATGTCTATATGTGGAGACTGCAGTTCTCAAACTCTCAAAGCATCCACATTTAAAATAACAAAAGCTGAAGGAAAAAGGCACCCAGATGTAACGTTTTATTCCATATCTTTGGGCCCTCACTGCCTGTTCCCTCTGACCTCATTTTACTTCCTTAGATGTATGTGCATACCCCAGGTATATTTTAGCTCTAAATGTCTATAAGGCGTGGGTCTAAGGGACGTGGGAGAATGGAGGGAAGTCTGACCCCCCACGAGACATTTCATACTCTACCTTCTCCGCAGGAAAGATGTGCTGCCTCATGAACCGCTTCACTTTGCTAAGCACTTCCTGGCCTCTCCTGGTCTGTGCAAACAACTGCTTCTTAGGATCAGCCTGCAGTGGTGCAGTAATGAAGGTTCTTGGTTAAAAAAAAAAAAAGGAGGTTACAAAGATGTCCAAAGTCATTATTATGTATTCAACAAAACAAGGCAAAGTCTCCCCAGCTACAAAAATATCCTTATGAGGAGGCAGCTTCAATATCTGAGAGGCTTGGGCTTATTGTTGCCAAACTCTGCTTTGCTAGCTATCCACAGAGCCTTGCAAATGCCAGGCCATTACGCTACCAATGAGGGACAACCTTAGCCCCATGGACATTTTTGTTTTGTTAATAGTATGGAATAAAAGTAGAATTGCTTTATTCTGAACACTAAGCTTGAATGCTTAAAGAGCTATGTGGGAAAACACAAGCCTTGCATGGCCTCAGTCAGTGCTAGCTTTAGTGACATCAGCTGTCACCACCACAAAGGAACAAGGAAGGTGTTGCACAAATCTGACCACTACTCACGCTGTTTCTCAGATACCACTACAGGAAATTTTATAGATGACCAAGAGAGAGAGAAAGAGAGAGAGAGAGAGAGAGAGAGAGAGAGAGAGAGAGAGAGAGAGAGAGAGAGAGAGAGAGAGAGAGAGAGAGAGAGAGAGAGAGAGAGAGAGAGAGACAGCGTGAGAGAGACAGACACAGAAAGAGAATGTGTCCCAATGTTGTGTCAGAGATAAGTGAGGCTTAGGAAATGTTCCTGGGGACAGCATTATACATACATTATAGGAGAGACAGGAGTGTGACTGGGAAAGTATGTTAGACTCCTCAGAAAGCCTGCCTCAAAAGAGTCATAGATTTAAAGACAATTGCAAAATGTTAAAGAAAAAGTAGTATTGCTAAGTTAATTAATAATCTAGTAATATCATATACAAGTAATTATAAGGAAACATGTTCATTTATATACTTAAAAGGTTATGTATTCAAGTTGGCAAAGAATATATTTAATCATAAATATGGGCATTTTCTTTATATTTTAGGTCAATTTAGTTTTTGGGTTTTTTTGTTTGTTTGTTTTTTCGAGACAGAGTTTCTTTGTATTGCTTTGGAGACTGTCCTGGAACTTGCTCTGTAGACCACACTGGCCTCGAATTCATAGAGATCTGCCTGCCTCTGCCTCCTGGGTGCTGGGATTAAAGGCGTGTGCCACCACTGCCTAGCAGTTGATTTAGTTTTAGGTATACAGTGATTTATTAGAAAACTATCCTGAGGCCAGCCAGTGGTGGCGCACGCCTTTAATCCAGGAACTCAGGGAGGTAGAGGCAGGTGGATCTCTGTTGGGTTCCAGGCTAGCCTGGTCAATAGAGTGAGTTCCAGGATGGCCAGAGCTACACAGAGAAACCCTGTCTCAAAAAACCAAAACCAAAACAAATAATTGGCAACAGCAGCTCTAATTTGGGCAGTGATATAATTTTTCATTTTCTTAAAGTTCTAGCCTTCCCATACCCAATAGCTATTTAAGTGAAGAGAAGACTCCAGGCTGTGTCCTGGTTTTCTGGGAACACACGAGACCTAGCTAACAAAGGCTGTGAAATGAGTTACCCAAAGGCTGTGTTTTCCTTACCTTTTTGAGAGCTGTAATCCAGTTTCTGCCAGGGGTTGCACAGTATTGGCAGTCATAAAGCTGTCCTCAGATGAGTTATTTCCCAAGAGGAATCTCCTGTAGACTCCCTACAAGAATATTAACATAGGACAATTAAAATCTATTGAAAATGGTCTCTCAACTATCCAATTAGTCTTTCCAGTTTGCCATCCATATGTGGAACTAAGGCCAAAGATGTCAACCAGACCATTGAGGCTGTAAACTTACATGCAGAGGTAACTATGTGCCTCTGTGTGAGAGTCACACTCATATCATGTAGTTGTGATACTCTAATCTAGGCAAAGGTGTAACTGATAACTCAAACCAAACTGGAAAATAACCCCAGTCACTGCCAAAACAGCCGACCTGTAAACTACATCATCTGTAATGATCACTGTTTTCCCTTTAGAGCTATCAAAATGAATCAAAGGCTAAAACCAAGGAGAAGTCAACGAGATCTGTAATAGCATTTTTGATCCCCAATTTGGTTAAAGCTGTCTCCTTTGAGCAGGGTTGGCTGAATGTCAACCAGCTCTCAAGTTGAATGGGTTTAGAGTCGCCCTGGGAACACACTGTGTTTGTGAGTACACTTCTAGAAAGAAGTGAGTGAATCCATGCCATGGGTGGTTTCCAGACTAAACAAGGGGGAAGACTTTTCGGTCTTCAACACTGAAGGATTTTAGCTTGCTTTTGCACCAGGCACTCACAATGGTCTTTTCTCCCGCATGCTTCTCCCTGCTTTGTCATTATTGTCTTCTCTCACAGTCCTTCTTGTTTGTCATACAAAAAGTAATAACCCATGTGAACCTCAAATTTTCTTTCCATTGAAGTCCTTTATGTAAATTCTAAATTTATATGTTACTCATATCTGACTCTTGTCCTTTGCAAGAGCCCAATGGCCTAAGAACCAAAACAAAAGGACTTGAACCAGAAAACATTGTTCACAGTAATAAGAAATGGTGAAGCACTTGCTTAAAATAATTACCTGTGATATCCCAGCCAATTTAAAGAAAGAAAGGGCCATAAAGAAATTCCAGTTAGGAAGATTAGGGTCAATTCCCCTGCGATGGCAATATATCGAAATCAGCTCTTCCATCAATGGTATTCCTACAAAAACAACACACAGCATAAACTTTAATATAGCACAGAAGATACAACATGGCATGCAATGCAAAAATAGTCACCATTAAGCCTGTTCTAAATATTGATTCCCTAAACAATAAATGCAAAAAATTGTATTGCAACAGATTATGAAAAGTGAAATGCTAAGTTCAGAAAACCAGAGAGATGGATTAGAAATATTTTAAAGGAACAAAATCCTCATAAGACTGCAAGAAACTTACATCCTTCTGCTCCGACAGTAAGAAAGAGGAGTTTATATGAAAGGCAGTTTAGGTAGCTGCTCCTCCGTACCTGTGTTCTCTTGAATGTGAGAGCCTCCGTTTATCATGGGCAGTGTCCTGGGCCAAAAGTAAAACAAGGACAGATGGGCTAAGTCCGACAAAGGGTGGCCAAAGGTTGAAAGCTCCCAGTCCAGTACTGCTATAACCCGACTCTGCAACAAGATGCACACAAGCCTTTGACATAATGAAATGAAAACAAACAGAATAAGGAAACAGATCAACAATCACATGCAGTCCTTCCCCCAGTGGCATAGCTCATGAAAACCAACTATACTCAGTTGTCTAGAGCCAAGGCCTCTGGTTCTACTGAGGGTTGCCAATCCTTCTCTCTGCCCTGACATCTCTGCTAACAGACAGATACAAACACAGCTTAAACTTCTCAACCAGAGGAGCTGTGGTGAAGAAGAAATTCTAATGATTAAGTACAGTTTAAGAAGTGAAGTATGGGAGTCAAGATGTAGCTGCCATAGGGGTAAGAAGTCCGGACACATTTCTCCGGTAAGAGAATTACTTAGATGGGTTAAATACTTAAGTCAAAGATAGCCAGTAAGAAACAAGTAAACAGCCAACAGCTTCATAATTAATACAGCGTCTTGTGTGTTATTTGGGGACTACAATGTGGCAGAGCCCAGGCGACTGGTGGGGAAAAACCAAAGCGGCTGGCAAGAAAAAGGCTTCCCTCAACATAACGGTTTAGGGTTTTTCTTGACAATGAGAAATGTCTGCTCCTAGCACATCAATTACGTCTGAGAGGAAGATGGGCATCAAAGAAGCTCGTTATGGAGTTTGCTTTCAACATGGCAAGATTAGCCATTTGGGCAAGAAACTGCTCTTGCCTAGACTGACTGTTGCTGTATAAACTGGACATGCAGGACCCACAGGAAAGTGACTGCAAACTCAAACAATGCTTCAGGGTTCCTGTTTCATGGAAGTGTCTACGAGACTTTCTGCAGGACACAGAAAAATGAATGACAGACTGCCAATGAAGATGGACAGTTTGAAATTTCTTGCTTTACTGAGTGAGAAGTCTTCTAGACACACTGGCCTATGGTCTGAAGATGGATGCCCCAACGTTACAGAGGAACTTCAGGTGACTGTCCAGGCAGCAAGATGTCTCTGTCAATCCTAGTGTTTATGTATTATCCTTCTGTAGTCTTTGATGGAGTTGAAGGCAGATAGTTATAATTATAGTTTTCCTTAGTTATGATAAAAGATAAGCTACATATAGAACTTTGGGCTCATAAGGATGGGATGGATGATACTTTCTTTAAATCTTGCTGAATGTTGATAGACAAAATATTGTAACTGTGTTCTTGCTTGATAGCTGTTCTGTTATATATAATTCGACTATGTTAAAGTTAACACCTTTCTTTTTGTTTAGACAGAAAAGAAGAGATGATAGGGAAGTCCTGTGTACATGTCAATAAAGCACTGTTGGCCAATAGGGAAGCAAGATAGGTGGGACTAGGAGTCGAGGAGTATTCTGGGAAGGAGAAACACAGGGAGTCAAGATGTAGCTGCTATAGGGGTAAGAAGTCCGGACCCCTTTCTCCGGTAAGAGAAATACTTAGATGGGTTAAATACTTAAGTCAAAGATAGCCAGTAAGAAACAAGCAAACAACCAACAGCTTCATAATTTAAAAAAAAGGAATTGAAGTATGAGCAAGCATTTGCTCTGGTGATGAATCTAACTATATAATAAATATACCATTACAGCTATCATATTTTAGAGTAAGTTATATAAACTAATCAGGAGAGAGATGACTCCCTTAAATTGTCTTCTGACTTATACACACTCATAAAATGTGGCATGTGTGTGCCCCGAGTTCACCACACACAAGTAAATATAGTTTTAAAAAAATTTAAAGATTACCAAATAATCTTCAGAATTGAAATGATACGCACCAAGATAATAGCAATGGATTACTTAAGGGACTGAGGTTGGCTGGGCAGTGGTAGTCCACACCTTTAATCACAGTGCTTGGGAGGTAGAAGCAGGCAAATGTCTGTGAATTTAAGGCCAGTCTGGTCTGCAGAGTGAGTTCCAGGACAGCCAGAGCTGTTGGACAGGGAAACCCAATTTCAAAACATAAAATAAGAAAATGGGTGGGTGTGGTGGGGACCGATGTTGGGAGTGAAGTGCAGAGTGACACCTCAACTAGAATATTCTATACAGTGGCATGATATCATGTGGCTTGTATTCTGAAAGTGTCACTCCATATGCTATTCTATGGTAGACTGAGGGGACTTAATAATGACTTCGGCAAATGATCCATCGTCAGAGGAAACAACAATGTGAGTAAGGGTGTTCCAAGTCTCCAAGTGCTTTTGTGTATGGTTTTACTCCCTTGAGTCTTTAGAAAAACTTAGACATACCAGTGAAGAGTTGTGGGCTACTGTGGGCTCTGAATCACACAGATCTATATTCAAATCAGAGCCTAGGTTACAGAGTAGATGATGCTGTCTCAAATTAAAAAAGTAAAAGAAGAAATGGAAAACAGTATAGGAACTCCGGTATTACACTGACACCTGGCCCCTGACAGGGGTATTATTTTAACTGGGCAAAGAGTTGTTACATTTGTTTATGTTGCAGGATACTTTAACTGTGTAAAGGTGTGTTACTTTTGTTTATGTTGCATTTGTTTAACAATGTAAGGATGTGTGTTTATGTGTCGCATCTGTTTCACCTTGCCTGCCTAAGGCACCTGGTTGGTCTAATAAAGAGCTGAATGGCCAATATCTAGGTAGGAGAACGGCTAGGGAGGGCTGTCGGATAGAGAGAATAAATTGGAGAAATCTAGGTTAGAGAGAGGGAAAAAGAAAGAGAGAAGAGGAGGAGAGAATGGAGGACACACCCGAGACAAGAAACCAGGCAGTTACCAGCCAGGCAGCCATAGAGAAGCAGTGAAAGTAAGATATACAGAAGTACGAAAGGTAATAGGCCCCAATGCAAAAGTAGATAAAGAGAAACTGATTAATTTAAGTTCAAAGAGCTAGTCAGAAATGTGCCTATTTCCTAAGCTCAAGGTGGGAAGCTGGCAAAGTTAAATTCAGAAATTAGTGCCATTGACCAAAAGTTACACACACACACACACACACACACACACACACACACACACACACACACACACACACACACACACGCGGTGCACTTTTGATGGTAGACAATGGTTTTAAAGCACACAGACCATTTATACTCAGTATAAACTACACTTTGAATTTTCATCTTCCCTACTGGCAATCTGAGGCATTGCACTCTCATGCCGGGCAGTCAGGCAGACACGCCATCACACAGGTAAGCAACTGACATCCTATAGTGGACTGTGCTGCTGAACTTAATGCTCAGTAGATTAGGTACCCCAAATGCATTATCAGATTACGCTACTTCAGCTTATACTAGCTATCAGGCTATAACCCTACCTAAAGATGGGGGCCATATAACCACATCCAAGCTACCTTTTCTAGGAAAACTTTACTGTCCTGCTGGCAAATGCAATTGCATGTGTTTATAAAATTCAGTTAATGTAGTTCTGTTTTTAATTGTGCCTATTATGTAATTTATATAGTATTTTCTCCCTGTACTCTTCCTAAACGGAAGAGATAGGAAGTAAAAAGTTCCATGCATAAGCAAGGCAGGTCTTACAAACACTTAACATTGGGAAAATAATCAGCTTAGAAAATCCTCCTCTAAAGTAAGACTCAGGGAACTATCAATCTTCATTTGTTTGGGTTCTATCCAATGAAGCACTATGTGTATTTACACAGAGAAAGATTAGGTTAATCTCATGTAACTCTTCAGTGGAAGCCTCAAGGGGCGTCTGGGATTCTTCCCTGAGCTTATACTAAACAAATGACAGATTCTCATGCCACAGGACAGAAGAACTCAAAGGAATGTAAGGGAACTAGAAGAAAGAGTTAGAATGTGAGCAAGCTAAGCATTTCAAGAAGTAGACTGAAATCTTTGATAGGAGTGACACACTGCAACCTCCAAGTCCTGCAAAAGTGACAACTGTGACACTGTTTAAGATTAGGACCAGCCCCAAACGTAGACACTGTCCTATGTTATAAACCTGTAGGACGCATCTCCAGAGGCTTTGAGTGGAGACAATCTGAGCTTTGGGGAGGAACAGACTGATCTGGGCTCCTTTAGAACACGGGGGTTGTGAGGGACATCTGTTTACTTCCAGAGTCTCAGGTCAGACCTATACAACACATCACAAACACGGCTCACGGTACCTCTTTGGGGTGGAAAACTATGTTATCCAGCTTGAAGTCTCCATGAATCAGACTCTCCTCATTGTCATTATCTGGCAAGTTCTTCATTAGCCACTTGGAGAGGTGGTCCATGGCAGGGATATCCTGATGGGCTGAAGCCTGGTACTGCTTTGTCCAGGTGGATACCTGAAGGCATGAGTGAGAAAGAATAGAAGGTGGGAGTCATGATTCTAAAGCAAGTTCATCTGTGCCAAAGACCATTCTACTAAGCACTTAACAAACATTCCCTTGGCAGTCTGAAACACCCCTATCAGCCTAAAACCCCAAATATTAAAGTTTCTTTCCCAGCTAGCCCCATTTTACCTACCTAGGCTTCTATCAGACAAGAAGAATAAATGCTGGCATAGATGTCAAGAATGGTCTTCACATAGTAACTATGAAAGAAATGCATACACACACACACACACACACACACACACACACACACACACACACACACACACACACACACACACAGAGTTTCTCCCTGAAAAGGGGATGTGAAGGCTAGACAGAGCTTTTGCCATTTACGATCCTTTCCTACTCCCACAGAGTATTTCAAATGGACCAGTAGGGAGTAGAGCAGACTTTGTATTGTTCAGAGAATTAAAAGCAAACAAATCCACCAACTCTCTGAGTCCTTTAACAAATGAGACCACCTTACTCAGCTGTTCACATCTCTCCACTGCCCAATGATGTCTGATCAATTTAGCACAAAAGAGCAAAGGTCTTCAACTTTGGCGTCTCACTGACTGAGGTTTATATTAGGTCTAAGCACTTACCTGTGTTTTGGGGTCAGTATTGGGTCAGTATAAACCTTGGATTCCTCATCTGCAAAATGAGGATAATACCTATGTCCTGCAGGGTTTGCAGAGATTGACAGCTCACTTAGCACCCAAGCCAGCACATAGTGACTGTTCTCTCAGACTCTTCCCACCCCACCCTCAAAGGGTTCACATAATGGGATGCAGCCCACACATGCCTGGTTTCACCTGTACTTGATTCAAGAGTTACCATCTTCTTAACGCTCTCTTTCTTTCCCAATAAGTTTTCCCCATCTAAGCAAAGCCATGCCAATCCCCATACCCTGGACATACAATCCTTGTGATGAACAATGAACGATTTACTAATAGGTAATAAACTTAGGGAAGCACACCATTTCTCAGCTTTGTGTATATGAGACTCATAAATGGGTCTCTCAAAAACAACCACAACTTTTTTTAGGACAAGAATACATTTCTGCTTTCTTGATATTCAAAAAGAATTCCACAAGTATTAAACACATGAAAGCTCAATAGATACTTTGCATAATTCAGAGAGGCAAAAGCGAGTAGAAAAATCTGTTAGCAAACCAAGTGAAAGCTGAAATAGAAACTTTTCTTTTTTTTCCTTTTTTAAATTTTAAGTTAGAAACAAGCTTGTTTTAAATGTCAATCCCAGCTCCCTTTCCTCCCCTCCTCCCCTACTCTCCCCACAAGGCCCCCAGTCCCCAACCCAACCTCCACTCTGATCCCCAGGGAGGGTATTGGTTAGCGTTACCCAAAAGTATTTTATGTAGTTTGTGACTATTGTAAAGGGCAATGTTTCTCTGATTTCTCTCTCAGCCCTTTTATCATCTGTATATGGTAGGGCTACTGATTTTCTTGAGTAGATCTTGTATCCTGCCACTTTGCTGAAGGTATTTATCAGCTGTAGGAGTTCCCTGGTAGAGTTTTTTGGGTCACTTATGTAAACTATCATATCATCTGCAAATAGTGAAAGTCTTACTTCTTCCTTTCCAATTTGTATCCCCTTGATCTCCTTTTGTTGTCATATTGCTCTAGCTAGAACTTCAAGTACAATATTGAAGAGGTATGAAGAGAGTGGACAGCCTTGTCTTGTTCCTGATTTTAGGGGAATTGCATTGAGTTTCTGTCCATTTAGTTTGATGTTGACTGTTGGTTTGCTGTATATAGCTTTTATTATGTTGAGGTAAGTTCCTGTCATCCCAGATCTCTCTAAGACCTTTATCATGAAAAGGTGTTGGATTTTGTCAAAGGTTTCTTCAGCATCTAGTGAGATGATCATGTGATTTTTGTTTCTCATCTTGTTTATAGGGTGGATTACATTGATGGATTTTCTTATGTTGAACCATCCCTGCATCCCTGGAATGAAGCCTACTTGATCATGATGGATGAGTTTTTTGATGTGTTCTTGGATCCAATTTGCCAGTATTTTATTGAGTATTTTTGCATCAATGTTCATGAGGGATATTGGTCTGAAGTTCTCTTTCTTAGTTGTGTCTTTGTGTGGCTTGGGTATCAAGGTTATTGAAACCTTGTAGAAAGAGTTTGGCAAAGACCCTTCTGCTTCTATTGCGTGGAATACTTTGAGAAGGATTGGTATAAGCTGTTCTTTGAATTTCTGGTAGAATTCTGCACTGAGGCCATTTGGGTATGTTGTGTCTTCATTCTCATTGAATTCTAGAAAGTCTTTAATTTCTATTTTTTTATTCTTCTTTGACCCCAGAATGGTGCAATTGTGCATTATTCAATTTCCATGAGTTTGTAGGGTTTCTGTAATTTGTGTTGTTGTTGAATTCTAATTTTAACACATGATGTTCTGATAAGGTACATGGAGTTATTCCAATTTTTTTGTAGCTGTTGAGGTTTGATATGTTGCCAAGTATGTGACCGATTTTTGAGAAGGTTCCATGTGGTGCTGAGAAGGTATATTCCTTTTTATTTGGATGGAAAATTCTATAGATGTCTGTTAATCCCAATTGGATCATAATTTCTATTAGTTCCTTTGCTTCCTTATTAAGTTTCTATCTGGTAGTCCTGTTTAGTGGTGAGAGTGGGGTGTTGAAGTCTCCTACTATAAGTGTGTGGGGATTTATAGTGATTTGAGTTTTAGTAATGTTTCTCTTATGGACATGGATGCCTTTGTATTTGGGGCATAGATGTTCAGAATTGAAACTCCATCTTGGTGGATTTCTCCTGTGATGAGTATGAAATGACCTCCTTCATCTCTTTTGGTTGATTTTATTTTAAAATTTAATTTGTTAGATATTAGGATTGCTATCCCAGCTTGTTTCTTGGGTCCATTTGATAGGAAAATCTTTTCCCAACCCTTAACTCTGAGGTAATGTCTGTCTCTGAGGCTGAAGTGTGTTTCTTGTATGCAGCAGAAGGATGGTTTCTGTCTTCGAATCCATTCTGTTAGCCTGTGTCTTTTTATGGGCGAGTTAAGACCATTAATATTGAGGAATATTAATGACGACTGATTGCTCATTCTTGTTTGTTTTGGAATGGTTGATGGTGGTGGAATTATATGTAGATTTCCATCTCTTTTTTTCTTTTGGCTGTTGGTAAGGTGGGATTATCTATTGCCTATGTTTTTCTGGTGGTAGTTAACTTCCTTGGGCTTGAATTTTCCTTCTAGAACTTTCTGTAGGGCTGGGTTAGTGGATATGTATTGTTTAAATCTGGTTTTGTCATCTTGCTATCTCCATCTATATTGATTGAAAGCGTTGCTGGGTATAGCAGTCTGGGCTGGCATCTGTGGTCTCTTAGCATGATAGAATATCTATCCAGGACCTTCTGGCTTTCAGAGTTTCCATGAAAAAGTCAGGTGTGGTTCTGACAGGTTTGCCTTTATATGTTACTTGGCCTTTTTCCTTTGCGGCTCTTAATATTCTTTCTTTATTGAGTATGTTCGAGGTTTTTACTATTATGTGGTGAGGGGACTTCCTTGGGAAAGTTGGGAAAGTTTTATCCTATGATTTTGTTGAATATGTTTTCTGCCCCTTTGAGGTGATTTTTTTCACCTTCTTCTATACCTGTTATTCTTAGGTTTGGTCTTTTCATGGTGTCCCATATTTCCTGGATGTTTTGTGTTAGGGATTTGTTGGGCTTAAGATTTTCTTTAGTTGATGAATCTATTTCTTCTAGTGTATCTTCAACACCAGAAATTCTCTCTTCCATCTCTTGTATTCTGTTGGTTATGCTTGCATCTGTAGTTCCTGATCGTTTGCCCAGCTTTTCTATTTCCAGCATTCCTTCAGACTGTGTTTTTTATTGTCTCTATTTCGGCATTCCACCCTTGCACTGTTTGAATTGTTTGTTGCAACTTTTGGTTTGTCTTTTCCTCTCTTTCTTGAATTTGTTGGATTTTTTGGTTTGTCTTTTCTTCCATTTCTTGCATTTTTTTGGTTTGTTTTTTTCTTCAATTTCTTGTATTTTTTTTTTTTTTGGTTTATTTTTTCTTCCATTTCTTTAAGGGATTTTCTTCTATCCCCTTTGAGGGCTTCTATCATTTTCATGAAGTTGTTTTTAAGGTCTTTCTCATCTGCTTCATCTGCAATAGGCTGTTGTGGGTGTAAGAGTCTCTAGTCTCTGGCGGTGTCATATTGGTTTTTCTGTTGCTGGGTGTATTTTTACATTGTCTCCTTCCCATCATTTCTTCCTGTGAGTGCAGAAGGAGCCTCTTCCTCTCCTGGTGGGTATGTGACCAAGGTTCCTTTCCAGTGGGTGGGAGCAGGTTCAATACCCTCGTGGCTTTCCTCTTTCAAGAATGGAGGCTGTCCTAGTATCAGGGCCTTGACAATCTCTGGGTAGGCTGGACCCTCGCCTGTCCTGTGGGTGGAGAATGGGACTTGGAAGCTGGAAGTCTCTGGGAGAGCTGAATCCCGTCAGGCTGGGATCTGCTGTGTGCAGTCATCAGGTCTCCTGAAATAGAAGCTTTTACTGTACAGAAGTTATCTAAAAACTAAAATCGGGAGCTGGGGTGATGACTCAGTACAGGGCTTGCTGGGCAAGCCAGAGGATGTGAGCACGATCCCCAGAATCTACGTGAAGAGAAAACAGAGAAAGAAGGGGAGGGAAGAAGGAAGACAAAGTCAGCCAGGTATGGCGGTATATGCTTGGAATTCTAGCACTGAGGAGAAGAGACAGGAGGTCCCCTGAAGCTCACTGGTCAGCCAGACTAACCAAGAAGCTCCAGGTCAACCAATGAGAGGCCTTGCCTCAGAACATAAGGTGGGCGGTTCCTGAGTATGACACCTGAGGTTGATTTCTGGCCCCCATTCCACATCCATGCGCACATACTTACACGTATATCTGCACACACATGTGCACCTACTCAACACACATACAACAGCAGCAGCAACATTTCATGCTGAAAAGTATATCTGGATATATTACCAAGGTTGATGTTAAAATGGCAAGATTTCGAGAGCCACACAATAACAGGGTGCACTTTGACTAGTGCATTATTTCTGAGAGCTTGAAGTATGTTTCAGTGTAGATGGCTTACCTGTCTTTTGCAGTACCCGACTCCATTACCATATCCATCTAGCTGCAGTGACTTTACATTCAGTGAATGTAGCCACGCTAAGGCTTCTATTGCAGCCACATATATAGCTGCACGCTCTGCTGGGCTAACTCCAGGAATTGAAAAATCACGGAAGATGCGACCCTATCAAAGTGATCACAGAGACCAGTTTAGTTAGCTGACAAACAAACATACACTTTACAGAGTATGCTGCTTCCAGCTTTAAACTGCTTATAAGTCACATCTCTAAATTAAAAACCATTTTAATTTGTTCTCAATGGTTTGTTCTTTCTGTGTGAAAGAGCTCCCCCTTCCCCCCTCCCCCCATACATACACATCCCCACCTTCCTGTTTGGCTACTGCCATTATAGGTAGCTCTTTACTGACACCTAGAGGAGTGTTTAAGCCTACCTCATTGTGAAATTGTAAGCCCTTGGAAAGGAACTATATTAAAACGTTGGATAAGTGACATTAGCTATGACCATAATAACATTCAACTAATATAATGCCATAATTAACTCCATAATTGAAAAGCAAAGCAACAACCGAGCAAGACTGTTAACTCACCTGCACATGCTCCATTACATAAAACTCTGTTCCAATGATGGCAGCATTGTTGCAGTACAGTAGAGGCTTGGGGACAGGGAATCCAATGGAAAACAAGGCTTTCTGGACTTTGAATTCTCTATCAATCTAGGATTATTAAAAACCAGAAACAGAAATTTTATAACTGTATGTGAGCTAATCTTAACTAAGGCTATCGGTTACAAAACTGTATCAATAAATAACTCAGAGTTGACAGTGACCATTCGCAGGAGGCTTTTTCAGGCATTGCACGTACAAAGTAGGGCAGCTCTAAAGCGTGGTGATTTCTTTGGGGTGAAAGGATAGGCATTTGCATGGGGCTCAATGCTGACTCCTTTAGTATGAGGGCAGCAGTCTGGGAGCAGCCCTCGGTTCTAGCAGTTCCTGCTTGCTGGTTGGATCTCTCCGTTCACATTTCTCAAGAGGCTCAGGAGAGATTCTCTCTAGTCAGATACATGAGCTGGTGGGTGGTGGTTGTGGGAAGGGAAAAATCACCCATTCCTGATGGACATCAAGGGAGAAGCATGCTTCTAAGGAGGGGGCATGGAGACCCTTAAGGCACACCGTCTGCCGTGGGGATCCAGATAACTATGGGGGGATCCAGGCAGCCAGAGCTGGAGCCCACATAAGACAAGAGAAACAATGACATGCAAGACACACATGCAGACCCAGGAAGGACCCAAGAGTGTGGCTTATAGCAGAGCTGGGATGCAGGAGAGCTAGGATGATTCATGCACTCAGAAAGTGCCTTGTTCCAGAGGCAAGGGTGACTGACCAGTCCTAAGGATGGAAAACCGTGCAGCTCACCTTGACATCAAGGAGTAATGCAGTCACAGAGCATGGGAGTAACTAAGCTCAAGGTGAGAACAACCAGTAGCACCAATGGCTACTGAAAGGGGTGTGTGTAACTGCTCTGGGGCTGGGAGATGAGAGGCAGGCAAGGGTCGGGGACAAAAGCATTAGGGAATTACAACCAGTAGCACCAATGGCTACTGAAAGGGTGTGTGTAACTGCTCTGGGGCTGGGAGATGAGAGGCAGGCAAGGGTCGGGGACAAAAGCATTAGGGAATTACAACCAGTAGCACCAATGGCTACTGAAAGGGTGTGTGTAACTGCTCTGGGGCTGGGAGATGAGAGGCAGGCAAGGGTCGGGGACAAAAGCATTAGGGAATTACAACCAGTAGCACCAATGGCTACTGAAAGGGGTGTGTGTAACTGCTCTGGGGCTGGGAGATGAGAGGCAGGCAAGGGTCGGGGACAAAAGCATTAGGGAATTACAACCAGTAGCACCAATGGCTACTGAAAGGGGTGTGTGTAACTGCTCTGGGGCTGGGAGATGAGAGGCAGGCAAGGGTCGGGGACAAAAGCATTAGGGAATTACAACCAGTAGCACCAATGGCTACTGAAAGGGGTGTGTGTAACTGCTCTGGGGCTGGGAGATGAGAGGCAGGCAAGGGTCGGGGACAAAAGCATTAGGGAATTACAACCAGTAGCACCAATGGCTACTGAAAGGGGTGTGTGTAACTGCTCTGGGGCTGGGAGATGAGAGGCAGGCAAGGGTCGGGGACAAAAGCATTAGGGAATTACAACCAGTAGCACCAATGGCTACTGAAAGGGGTGTGTGTAACTGCTCTGGGGCTGGGAGATGAGAGGCAGGCAAGGGTCGGGGACAAAAGCATTAGGGAATTACAACCAGTAGCACCAATGGCTACTGAAAGGGTGTGTGTAACTGCTCTGGGGCTGGGAGATGAGAGGCAGGCAAGGGTCGGGGACAAAAGCATTAGGGAATTACAACCAGTAGCACCAATGGCTACTGAAAGGGGTGTGTGTAACTGCTCTGGGGCTGGGAGATGAGAGGCAGGCAAGGGTCGGGGACAAAAGCATTAGGGAATTACAACCAGTAGCACCAATGGCTACTGAAAGGGGTGTGTGTAACTGCTCTGGGGCTGGGAGATGAGAGGCAGGCAAGGGTCGGGGACAAAAGCATTAGGGAATTACAACCAGTAGCACCAATGGCTACTGAAAGGGGTGTGTGTAACTGCTCTGGGGCTGGGAGATGAGAGGCAGGCAAGGGTCGGGACAAAAGCATTAGGGAATTACAACCAGTAGCACCAATGGCTACTGAAAGGGGTGTGTGTAACTGCTCTGGGGCTGGGAGATGAGAGGCAGGCAAGGGTCGGGGACAAAAGCATTAGGGAATTACAACCAGTAGCACCAATGGCTACTGAAAGGGGTGTGTGTAACTGCTCTGGGGCTGGGAGATGAGAGGCAGGCAAGGGTCGGGGACAAAAGCATTAGGGAATTACAACCAGTAGCACCAATGGCTACTGAAAGGGGTGTGTGTAACTGCTCTGGGGCTGGGAGATGAGAGGCAGGCAAGGGTCGGGGACAAAAGCATTAGGGAATTACAACCAGTAGCACCAATGGCTACTGAAAGGGGTGTGTGTAACTGCTCTGGGGCTGGGAGATGAGAGGCAGGCAAGGGTCGGGGACAAAAGCATTAGGGAATTACAACCAGTAGCACCAATGGCTACTGAAAGGGGTGTGTGTAACTGCTCTGGGGCTGGGAGATGAGAGGCAGGCAAGGGTCGGGGACAAAAGCATTAGGGAATTACAACCAGTAGCACCAATGGCTACTGAAAGGGTGTGTGTAACTGCTCTGGGGCTGGGAGATGAGAGGCAGGCAAGGGTCGGGGACAAAAGCATTAGGGAATTACAACCAGTAGCACCAATGGCTACTGAAAGGGTGTGTGTAACTGCTCTGGGGCTGGGAGATGAGAGGCAGGCAAGGGTCGGGGACAAAAGCATTAGGGAATTACAACCAGTAGCACCAATGGCTACTGAAAGGGTGTGTGTAACTGCTCTGGGGCTGGGAGATGAGAGGCAGGCAAGGGTCGGGGACAAAAGCATTAGGGAATTACAACCAGTAGCACCAATGGCTACTGAAAGGGGTGTGTGTAACTGCTCTGGGGCTGGGAGATGAGAGGCAGGCAAGGGTCGGGGACAAAAGCATTAGGGAATTACAACCAGTAGCACCAATGGCTACTGAAAGGGGTGTGTGTAACTGCTCTGGGGCTGGGAGATGAGAGGCAGGCAAGGGTCGGGGACAAAAGCATTAGGGAATTACAACCAGTAGCACCAATGGCTACTGAAAGGGGTGTGTGTAACTGCTCTGGGGCTGGGAGATGAGAGGCAGGCAAGGGTCGGGGACAAAAGCATTAGGGAATTACAACCAGTAGCACCAATGGCTACTGAAAGGGGTGTGTGTAACTGCTCTGGGGCTGGGAGATGAGAGGCAGGCAAGGGTCGGGGACAAAAGCATTAGGGAATTACAACCAGTAGCACCAATGGCTACTGAAAGGGGTGTGTGTAACTGCTCTGGGGCTGGGAGATGAGAGGCAGGCAAGGGTCGGGGACAAAAGCATTAGGGAATTACAACCAGTAGCACCAATGGCTACTGAAAGGGGTGTGTGTAACTGCTCTGGGGCTGGGAGATGAGAGGCAGGCAAGGGTCGGGGACAAAAGCATTAGGGAATTACAACCCAGATGGCGAAGCAAGAGCACTGTTTTGTCAAACACAGACGGTTGTGGGAAAAGCCGAGGCAGTTAAGACAAGGTACTCTACATCCATGGAGCTGTACTTAGGCTGAGAGCATGATGTTTTCTGTAGTGTTCTAGTGGAATGTAGTCAAAAAGAGAATCAAAGAGGACTGCTATTGAGGCACAAATTTCTAGGCAGGGGCGGGGCTTTCCTTCAGTCATGCCATGTTGACATTAACAAAAGTTACCCAACTTTTTTTTTAAGTGTCCAAGTTACTTCATGTTTTCAGGAATATGATAGAGCCAAGAAAGACAGAATCTGTGTTATCCAATTACTATGACATTAAATCTACCTCACAGTGGTCTTTGCCCAGTGAATCATTAGAAAGCACAGGATAGGTAGGTGGTGGTGGCTCATGCCTTTAATTCCAGCACTTGGGAGGCAAAGTTGGAGTGAGGTAGAGGCCAGCCTGGTCTACAGAGATAGTTCCAGGCCAGCCAGGGCTACACAGAGAAACCCCGTCTCAAAAAACCAAAGAAGCACATAAGCTGGTCCAAACCTAACTCCTTTCCTTCTTGGGACTTCTGTTTCTCTCTGTATAAAACGAGAGTATGGGAGAGGAGGGCTCAATCGGCCCTAAGGGGTGAGAGCAATTGCTCCCCCATTTTACAGAAGGGAAAACAGGCCAAGAGAGGCTAAGACTGACTATGCAAATGAACAGGAAATAAGATGGAGCAGTGGAGGCTCCAGGAACCCCAGCTGCTTCCAGGGAAATGCAAGATTCGAACCCAAGCAACCTGTGCAGACCTGGCCCTGTGAGCCCAGTTTCCTGTGACTTCACACCACTCTTACAGCACTCTGATCAGCTCTGCCTTTTTTCTTCATCTTGGACACGTGGGACCCCACCTCCACCCCAACCCCGCAGAACTCTGTATCTTCAACAGACCCAAAAGTGGCTTGAAGGAGCTGGGCTGTGTAGGCCAGGAGAGTGAGTGAGGCCCACTGTGCATCAGGCATGTGGAGAAATTGGGAGAAGAGGTTGTGTTGTGAAGCTGCCAGCAATAGATTCTTTTGCAAGCAGGAAAATGGCTGACCCCAGAGCTCTCACAATGTGTGCCAATGCCAGATCCCTGTGGGGTTTGTCTAAACAGGCTGTGAGCAGTGGCTGCTCCCTGACTCTATCTACCCAAGCTCTGCAGCCCACCCCCAGGCATTGGACCCAGGATGACCTCTGTTTACCTCCGGGGTCTTCCTATGAGTCTGTGTGATACGGGTGCCCTGATAGGGAAAACTGCTAGGTATCCACGTGGACAAGGATCAGAGGCCTGCAGAAGACACATGTTGTGCCTGCCTGACTTCTTCCCTTCCTTCCTCCTACATCCCCCCTTCCCTTACTTCCTTTGTGGTGCTAGGAATGAACCAAGGGCCTCACACATGCCAGACAAAAGCTCTACTGCTGGGCTACAACCTCAACCCTCTTCCTTACATCATTTGATATATACAAAATAAAGTATGTTGTGTATATAAAGCACATGATTACAGTACCATCTACACATGTAGAGTACTTAGAATGTTTTCCAGTACTTGACTCTATGTCCTCTCTTCTAACTATCCCAAGATAATTCCTGTTTTTGCAGACGGGAAATTTTACTTTAGAAATTGGCTGATAAATCATGTTTGTATATATTTGTAAGGTATAGCACGATAACTTGGTTTGTATATATATATATTAGGTAGTGAATAACTAGAAAACTTAATTTGTAAAATTTTTTATAATTCTCCCTGATGAGTCTAAAACTTAAAGCCTACTATATAACAATTCTCGTGTCTTTCTTTTTTAAACCACTGGATGATTATAAGATGTCCAAAGCAAATACATAAAAATAACTCAGCAAGTAGAGACTGTCAGCACAGATGCTCTTAGTATGCAGGGAAAACAAATCGTCTAGAAATGAGTAGCATGAACATATCCACAGGGAAGAATGAGGCCCACCAGGAGACCTGCTGGTATTCAGGATGGCAGTTTAAGTGCAGCTTTCGATTTCATCCTTTTTCAAACAAAAGGCTGTGCAACTGAAGTGAGGATTTAATTAAGAGAGAAGTGCATTTCCACTAATCAGGATGGCCATTAGACTTTCCAGTCTGAATGGCTTTTGTGTTTTTCAGAGGCAGTTAGTTACCTGTAGTAGAGGAACTGCTCGCTGTGTGTCTGTGCCATACCTTGTGTGCTTTGGGAAGGAGAGAGCCCGGTGGTTTCTTCCTCAGAACATAGGCTTGAGATCCTTTCTGGAGGAAAAAGGTTGGATTGGACTGTCCTGATCTGGAGAAAAAGGTTTATAAAAGGTCAATCATAAACATGTCTCCTTCCTCCTGAAACCCTACTGAAATGTCAGAAAAGACAAGAACCAAAATAAATGTGTCTCAATGCCTGAGTGACCACAGGGGTGCCCCCAGCAGCTCAGGGAGGACAAGTTCGTGGTGATAGTTAATAATAGCAGCCTGCTGACATCTGAGGACTCTACAAACACAACATTAGAAATGCCTTATCGAGTTCTAACACAGACAAAAGGAAGTAAACAGACACAGAAGCCCCCTGCACTGGGGGACAAGCAACAACTCAACACAGCACTGGCTAAATCTCCCCCCCCCACTCCACCCAGCAGGACCTCAGCAGTGGGAAAACACTGATGGGCTCAGCATACAGACCACTGAGCTAATAGTCATGACTGTTAAGAACTTGAATGAGATATCTGGTGCTAAAGAAATTGCTGTTGTAAGAGATGGTTCTCTGACAATTGGTAAAGATTGTTTAGGTGGGCAGCTAGGGATGGGTTATTTTGACAAGATCCTGGCTATCCATCAATATCACAAGACCCTAATATGCCACCCTTAGTCTCTTTGAAGCAAGTAAAGATAAGAAATATCATATCGATAGGAGAGAATTATAGAATTTCTCTAGAGTCCTTGTAGCAACTCATCAGAAATGTAGCATTTGTTCTACATCTCCTGTACCCCTGCAGGTGTAAGGCGTGAGTGTGTGGTGCCTACCTGGTGGAGAAGCCTGCCAGAGTCCATACATGCCAATAGAGCAAAGCACCACAGAGTAGGTAGTTTATAAGTTGCAAACACTTACTTCTCATGTTTCTACAGTCTGAGAGGTCCAAGGCCAAGAGCCAGCAGACTGGGTGTGTAGTGATGACCTGCTTCCTTTAAATGCTGCCTCTCATTATATCTACACACAGAAAGGAAGAAGGCAGATCTCAAGGAGGGGAAGGGGGAGACAAGCATGGGCACACTGCTAGACCAAGTTACTTAGTGGGTAGCTTTAGCCTGACCTGTGGGTGCAATGTGGGGGCTGGACATGGGCTGAACTCTGGAGAGTTCTCCATCTGAAAGTCATCTTCTCTCTCAAGCAAGTATGGTAAACATTATTCTCCTGAAACTGGCTAAGTGTCATCTCCGTGCAGCACCATTCAGGCCAAAAGAGGTTCTGACAGTTCAGAGAAAGCTCCTCAAAAGAGTGACATGGGGCAGGTGAGATGGTTGTGTGGGTAAAGGTGCATGCCACCAAGCCTGACACCCTGAGTTCCATTCCTGGGACCCACATAGTGAGAGTGCACACCATTATATGCTTACACATGCACACACAATTAAAAAGTAATAATTTTAAGAGTAATGGGTTCTGGCCACCGGAACCTGGCAAAGCTGGGTGTGTCTTGAAACAAGCACACTTGGGAAAGCATCAACATCTACTGAAGTAAGTCCACTCTTCAAATTCATGATCACAAACCTCAAAGTGAACCCCATATGGCAGTCATATTTCTTCAGCCCACTAACTTCATTTCTCTTCTCTGACCACTCCCTCTTCTATGTTCTTTTGTCACTAATCACCCAGTGTCATATTTGAATGAGAAAATCGAAGCAATCAGATGTGAACTTGCACTTAGTTGTAGCAGGATTTTCTGCATCCACACAGTGGCTTCCTTTCAACATCTACAGTAAACAATCCACCCTATTGGTGGGCACCCCCATCTTCTTGGGCTCTTTGCGCTAGACTCTTTTCTTGTGCAAATTCTTAACCACTGGTTATTTGGTTATTTCTGAAGCCTCTTCTTGGCCCCTCTTCACTCTCCTCCACCGAATCTCTCTTCTTCAAAGTCTGTCTTGAACCCACTTCAGTCAAGCAGCCTTTTCAAGGTCAAGAGCACTAGGATTTTGACTGACATTGCTTTGAATCTACAGATCATTTGGGACCAAAGAAAAATTTACAGTACTGACTTTTCCTGCTCATGTTTAGGAATTTTATTCCTAAAGTTCTTTAAAAATTCCTAATAGGGAGTTCTCAATGGAGGAATCTAAAATGACTGAAAGACACATAAGAAAGTTCTCAACATCCTTAGCCATCAGGGAAATGCAAATCAAAACAACTCTGAGATACCATCTTACTCCTGTCAGAATGGCTAAAATCAAAAACACCAATGACAGGTTATGCTGGAGAGGATGTGGAGAAAGAGGGGAACATACTTCCACTGCTGGTGGGAGTGCCAACTCGTACAACCACTTTGGAAATCAGTATGGCAGTTCCTCAGGAAAATGGGAATCAGTCTACCACAAGATCCTTCAATTCCACTCTTAGGCATATATCCAAAAGATGCACATTCATACAAGGACATCTGCCCAACCATGTTCATAGCAGCATTATTTGTAATAGTCAGAACTGGAAGCAACCTAGATGTCCCTCAACTGAAGAATGGATAGAGAAAATGTGGTACTTTTACACAGTGGAGTACTACTCAGTGGAAAAAAAACAAGCAAATTCACAAGCAAATGGATGGCACTACAGGAAACCATCCTGAGTGAGGTAACCCAGTCACAAAAAGACAAGCATGGAATATACTCACTCATATATGGATTTTAGACATAGAGCAAAGGATTACCAGCCTACAATCCACCCTGCCAGAGAAGCTAGGAATCAATGAGGACCCTAAGTGAGACATACATGGTCCCCTGGAGAAGGGGAAAGGGATAAGATCTCCTGAGCTAATTGAGGCCATGGTGGGGGGGAGGGGAGAGGGAGTTAGGAGAAAAAGAAGGGGAGAGGAAGAGTGGAGAAGAGGACATGAGCGAGGAGGAAGATTGGGTCAGGGGAAGAATAGAGGAGAGCAAGAAAAGGGATACCATAATAGTGGGACCCATTATAGGTTTACAGAGAAATCTGGCACTAGGGAAATGTCCAGAAATCTACAAGGCTGACCCCAACTAACAATCTAAGCAATAGTCGAGAGGCTACCTTAAATGCCCTTCTCTGATAATGAGATTGATGACGACCTTATATGCCATCCTAGAGCCTTCATCTAGTAGCTCATGGAAGCAGAAGCAGACACCCACAGCTAAACACTGAGCTAAACTCTGGAATCCAGTTGCAGAGAGGGAGGAGTGATGAGCAAAGGGGTCAAGACCAGGCTGGTGAAACCCACAGAAACAGCTGTCCTGAACAAGGGACAGTCATGGACCCCAGACTGATAGACACCCTGAACGAGGATGTCAGTTTGGAGGTCTGGGCAATCTATGGGGCCTCTGGTAGTGGGTCAGTATTTATCCCTAGTACACGAATGGAATTTGGGAGCCCACTCCACATAGAAGGATACTCTCTCAGCCTAGACACAAGGGGGAGGGGCTAGGCCCTGCTCCAAATTATGACAGACTTTGAAGATTCTTCCATGGAAGGCCTCACCCTCCCTGGGGAGCAGAAAGGGGATGGTATAGGGGGTTGATGAGAGGGAGGGGAGGAGGGGAGGGAGAGGGAACTGGGATTGACATGTAAAACAAGTTTGTTTCTAATTTAAATAAAAAAGGAAAAAAAGAGAAGCAGAGTAATAAAAATGCCATGTAAAGATGGAAAATACAAAAAAAAAAATTCCTAATAGGGTTTTGTCATGTCCCATACAAAGGTCTTGCATACCTATTAGACTGGTGTTCAGGTAATTGTTTTTTTTAATGTTCTTATCAGAGTTTTTTGAATGCCATATTTTGACTGTTGCTAGGATATAGAAATGCAAGTGATGTGCATGCTTATTTTAACAAAATATTACCGTGTAGCTCATTGGCTCACCAACACATGAACCAGTGAGGTATTTGTTCGCTGTTCTTGTCCTGTTAAAAAGTTTGCACTTATATTGTGAAAATGCATGGTTTTATTTGTCTGTTTATCTATGGGGGCGTGTATGGAGGTCAGGGGACAACTTTCAGGAATCGATTCTCTCCTTCTACAGTGCGGTTTCCTGGGACTGACCTCAGAGTGTCAGGCTTGGCAGCAGGTGCCTTTACCTGATAAGCCATCTCACTGGCCCAAGTTTAAAACTTTTTTTTTTGATATTTTTGGGACCTAGTATGTTTTTATCTCTTATAATGTTTTCATTTGTCCAGTAAATGAGTGTGTCTTCTCTGTGGAATCTGAACTTCCATACACATGTGTTAAGTCAAGTTTACAGGACATTTCTGGAAAAAGAGTTTTTGAGACCAGGGATTGCTACATAATCCAGGCTGGCCTCACACTCACAATCATGCTCCCTCACCCTACAAGTGGTGGGATTAAAGCCATGTAACACCAGCTTGGTTTCTGGAGTAATTTCTGTATCACAACTAATTTCATTTATTGAGCATGATTTTGGTGAACATCAACTTAATTCAGAATTATTTTAAAATCAGCACAGGACCACAGTAGCCTGAGGATATATAACCTTTGCCCGAAAGCAGGATGGGATGCTCAAATGACAAGCTGGCCAAATTCCATGCGGAGTGAACGAACCATTAACATCTGAACTTTGATCTGTTTTAGTCTGTTTACAACACAAAGCACTATTTTCAGAAGTGTAATACTTTATCTCCACACAGATATTTCAATGCTTAAGCCCTTTCACCTGCATTACTTCATTGCCTTATCAAGACTAATGGGAACAGGCAAATGTTAAAAGAAAGAAACGTTGGTCTCAGAATGTATGTTACACTTAGACCCCCAGATAGAAAGGCCAGACACAGTTTACTGGGACCATATGAAATGGTTTTATACTGCAACCATATAATGGTTTTATACTTCAACCGTATAAAAATGAAAAAGTATTGCAAAACATCAGATGAAGTCAGATTCACTTGTCAGTGGAGACAGGTACTCTCAAGGTTATCTCATCCAGTTTAATTTCCTTTCTTCAAGAACTTGTGCCTCAAGTGGTGCTTAATATGGCTAAGTGGAAAGGCTAGAATCTGAATTTGTATACTTCAGGTGGTGTTATTAACCTAGCTGCAGGTGACTAAGGTCAATTAAACAAAAATGCCACCAGCCCTTCAGAAAATGCCTTCAGATTTAGCACAAAAGGTCACGAAGGCATCCATTCCCCCAAACGCGTCCAGCTTCATCCATCTCAGTGAATTAGGCAAATGATCTTAGTCCTTAAAAAGACTGCATTGCATAATGAACACTGCGCTTCTACTACTGCCTTTTAGCTCAAACTAGCCTGGGATTCAAGGCCAAGCCATACAGGAAGCGTGCTTGCACGGAAACAAATCGCGAATGGCAAATGAGAAACCTACCCAGGGCCAAAGGAAGAAAAGCACCAAGCACAGACTTGCTCCAGCTGGAGGCGAAGACTACGATAGATAGATACCTGTATTGAGTTATGGTCAGCACAGCCCGGGAATCTGACCCAAAGCCAGGCAAATGCTGATTCAGGTAGGCCTCCAGGGACCTGATGTCGAACTTGTGCTGGGGTAGCACTTCCACGGTGTCACTGGTGACATTCCTCTCCATGATTGCCACCGCAGTCACGGGGTACACAGGTGACACGGAGGAGGGACGGAGGTAGAAACAACACAGCTTGGAGGCGTGGCCAAGGCGGGGCTTAGCGGAAGCCAATCACGTTGCTAAGCTGTGTGGGCGGTCGAGCGTAGTGGCTTGGGTCTGGGGGAGAAATGAAGGAAGTGCCTGCTGTGGACCCCAATTTAGAATTCTCTATCAGCGTCAGAGCGGGGGGGGGTCTCGATTTTAATAGAAACACAAGGTCACAAACGTCACTCGGGCGAGTGAAGACATATCTTCCACTCTAGTGTCAATGACGCATCAGGCGGAAGGCCTGGGAGGTCCGGTTATGAAGAGGGTCCGCCGGAACTTTGGGTCCGGGAGTAAAAGACCTCGGTGTTCTTCATGGCCTCCTAGGTTAGAAAGGCAGAGTCGCTGTCGGCCTGATCTGGACGCACATGACACTGGCCCTGCTGCGACCTGGTTTAGCGTTTCTAGAGGAGACCTGTTTTGAGGAGGGTTTTCGCCGAGGGGAGCCGTGGCGGTGACGCGCCGGAAGTGGCGCGCCGGAAGACCTGCGGGCGTGGCGGAGACGTGTCTAACTGGGATGCTTGGAGGCTCTTCCTTGGGTGTCGGGATCCGGAAGGCTGTACCTAGTCCACCTTCATTTCGCGCGTCCATCGCTGCAGCGTGGGGAGGCGGCGGCGGCGGAGGCCCAGGCTGGGAGCGGCGGCTGCCGGGGGCCCAGCCATGGCGGAGTCGGTGGAGCGGCTGCGGCAGCGGGTTGAGGAGCTGGAACAAGAACTCGCCCGGGAGAGAAGCCGGCACGTCGTGGGCGGCCGGACCCGCATCGAGAAGATGAGCTCCGAGGTGGTGGACTCCAATCCCTACAGGTGATCCTTTCTTGCTGTGGAGGTCCTATTTCTAGATAGGCAGGGTCACGTCTTAGTGCTAGTCAGAAGATAATCCTTGCCGAGCGTAGTGACTCCTGATTGATGTCAGCATTCGGTAGGGTAAGGGGGAAGGGGGCTGTCGCGAGTTCCAGGCCAGCCTGGGCTACATAATGAGTCCTAAACTAGCTTGGGCTGTGTAGTGAGAACCCTTCCACCTGCAAAGAGAAAAAATAACATCTTATTTTAATAAAAAATTCAAGCCAGGCCTCCATATGGTGCAGCTCTTGTGCTCTCTGTCCTGTGCCCAATTTCCTGTTACCCTTGTCTCTTTATTTAGTCTACCTTACTCTGCATAAGGCTGATTGCTAGTAAACTCTGCCGTAACGTAACATCTTACGTGAAGCTGCGAAGGATAGACCACAGTTCCCGAAAGGTCTTTCTGTGTAACTTAGATGAACCAGGGAGAGGAGAGTTAGTGACTAGGGAGCTCAGGAACTTCTCTGATTGTCGACTTTGCTAGGCCTGCTTACTCCTGTCCTTTGCTCTCCCTAAAAGGACGTAGTAGTTTATGAGGGGAAATACATAGCTGTGGTTGAGGGAAGGCCTCTGCACCAAGACTGAGTGAATTCATTTCTCAGCTTACTGAATAGCCAGTAACTTCTAACAGCTGCTATGCTGCTTCAGGGTATTACCTGTACCGTGGGACCACAGGGATGTCCATTTCCGTCATAGCTGGGAAGGCTGAAACAGTCAGGTTATGTGGAGTTCTTAAAGCAGCAGATGTACATGGCAAGCCTCGTACAAGACTGCGTTCAGTAGCGTGCAGTTAGACCTTTCAGTTACATGTTTTCCTTCTCACAGCAGCCCCATGGGATCGCTATTTCGATCTCACTCTGTAGGTGAGACAATTGAGTGTTGGAGAGCCACTTTAGATAGATTGAGTAAACCATACAATCTGAGTGTGTTAGGTTTCTCCTCAGTAAGTCAGGAAGTCTGTAAGTGTGGATAAAAACTGGGTAGTTGTAGCTCACATGAAGTTCCAGGAAAAGAGCAATGTGTGCTGTGCGTCTAGAGGCACTCTCAGATGATGACGTTGGAGACTTATGCAGGTGAAGGTATGTAGAGAAGCTTTGGAGGACTATGGGAGTTAGGTTGAGTAAGTGAAGCATGAGGAGATGAGGTGTAGGGAAGACACAGTTGCTGCCTGGAGGAATGGAGGTTATGGAGGAAAGGGAGAGTTCCAAAGCACCCGCCCAGCAGTGAACAGTTACCTAACCAAAATGGCCAAGGCATCAGTATCGGACATTTACAAGTGAACGCTTCAGGAGACTGAAAAGCAAGAAATGGAAATGCTGCAGTAGTACGCATTTACAGATGCTCAGAGGGGAAAGTGGGAAGTAAGGGGCAGCCTAGTGGACTGCTGGCCTTTCTAAGAACCCCAGAGCTTCCTGTGCCATCCTAAAACAAACAAATGAAAAGTTAATATAATAAATTGATGTACATATACACACACAGTACACACACACACTAGAATAGACGAGCTGAAGTGCTTAAAGTCCTTGGGATACATCAGATCTCTCCAAAAGTTGCCATCATACATTATGGACAGAGACCATGAGCTTATTTCATTTTCTTTATATACTAATACAGCATGGGAAAATAATGGCATTTCACTTTGACCCTTAACATTTAAGCCATTAGGTGTAGTTCTTGGCTGCACATTAGGATAAAGGAGGTTCTTTAGAAGAAAAATGTTTCACAGGCTACACCCAGGATTGTCCATGTTTCTAAACCTACCCAGTGATTTATTCTTACTTAGTAAAAGTTAGCCTTTACTTTCAGTAGGTTGTCAGATTTGCTGTGTACCCCAAGCTGGTTTTGAACTCCTAATCCTCCTGCCTCAGCCTCTATAGAGTGCTAGGATTACAGATGCCTGCCACCATGTCCATCCAGCTAGATTCCTCCTCTTTTGAAGTAGTAATAGTGCAGTTCTGGTGATTGTTTTCTTGGATGGCGCATGTCTGTAAATATCACTGTTAACTAAAAGATTACAAGTTTGGGGCTGGAGAGCTGGCTCAGTGGTTAAGAGTACTAACTGGTCTTCCACAGGACCCAGGTTCAATTCCCAGCACCCACATAGGAGTCTACCATCCATAACTCTAGGCCCAGGGAATCTGACAACCTCCTTTGGCCTACGTAGGCATTGCATGTACCTTCAGTACTGCATGTGTAAGCATACATACAGGTAAACCACCCATACACATAAAAATAAAAATCAAAAAGACTGCAAAAACTCTGAAACTTTTTTTTTTCCCTTTAAGCCGCCTGATGGCATTGAAACGGATGGGAATTGTCAGTGACTATGAGGTATGATGACCCTTGCCACGCTTCTGAACTTGATTTCAGTAAACGAAGAATTTCTGGTGAGCAATCAAATGAGGAGTAGTAACCAGCACATGTATGATTGTGTTTCACAGAGAATCCGTACTTATGCTGTAGCAATCGTAGGTGTTGGTGGAGTTGGTAGTGTGACTGCGGAAATGCTGACAAGATGTGGCATTGGTAAGGTAAAAAGATCTCTCTTTGCCTGTCCAGTAGGGAACTGTACACTCCTGCAGCAAATCAGGTACAGATTAGCACTCTTCTGATCAATCACTGCTTTACCGATTTCTCTTGTATTTATGGAAATTGCTCTTCTCAAGAGGCTGAGTCATATCCCTCTCCTAACAAAGGCTCATGTTATTGCCATTTAAACAAAGGGTATTTAATTGTGTTGAGGAACTTTTTTTGAGTAGTGTAATGTGTAAGTGAAAGTGATTTGGAATTATTTTTAGATACAGAACCTGTGAGATACTTAGATATAGAACCTGGTTCTGGCCGACGTTGGTGGCGCACGCCTTTAATCCCAGCACTCGGGAGGCAGAGGCAGGCGGATCTCTGTGAGTTCGAGGCCGGCCTGGTCTACAGAGTGAGTTCCAGGACAACCTCCAAAGCCACAGAAAAACCCTATCTTGAAAAACCAAAAAAAAAAAAAAAAAAAAAACCAACCAAACAAACAAAAAACCTGGTTCTGGGGTGTCCCTCCCAAAAAAAGGCCACATAGACCCATAGTATTTTAACAAGGCAAAAAATTTACTTCTGCAGGAGGGTGCATAGCCATGCCAAATCAAGCAGACAGGCACACCCAATAGGGGTTCTGCTGAGTTTCCATTTCTAATGTAAGGGTTCCTGTGCTTGCTCTTGGTGGTCAGAGTTCAGCCCCACACTCATACATAGTTGGCTAATTACAAATAGCCAAAGTACAACTTGTGGGAACAGGCTACAACTTTGAGCATATATTTTTATTTCAAGAAGTGCTGACCCTGGACAAATTTAAACTTCTGCCAAGTGACTGCAGTATTTTTTCTTAAGTTATTATTATTTTTTATTCTTCTCTCATACAATATATCCTGACTACAGCCTCAACTCCCTTCACTCCTCTAAGTCCCCCACAACAGTGTTTTAAAAAGTTTTGTCTTATTGATCCTTTAATACAAAAGACAATAGTATATTTAAATGGATAAAGTATGCAAATGAAACACTCAGATCCTGAAAATCTTTTTACGTGCTCAATTAAACACACACAGAGAATGGAAAGCATTGAATTTGAACTAGGGGATGTTTTTAGATTTTTTTATTTAACCCATGTTGTTTCCTTTTAAAGATGGATTAGAATTGTAGAAAGAAGTAACCTTCTACTAGAATTTAATCTGCCAACCATAGGTTTATAAAGCCAAGGACTATTGATGTTACTCAGTGGTTGGATAAGTTTTCCACAATTATCTGCCCTGTTATTTTCATAAAACATACATTATTCAATATCATTTGTCAATAACTTAATGTCAAAAGATAGCAATTGCATTTTGGCCCTCATTTATCAATATAAAATGATGCCAACAAAATACTTAAAATGCTTATTATAATTTTAATGACTTTGAAGTGGTTTGCAGAAGCAGGTCAAATACTGCTTGAGGACCCAGTTGATTGGCGGATTATTGGAGATGCTCGAGATCAGTAGTTAAAAGTTGAGTATGTGACCATATTAAAACACACTGCCAGACCTCAGTTATGTAGTTTTAATCCTACAGGTGTCAGGTAGCCTGGAAATTGTCATAACTGGTTTCCAGGTAATCTGATAGTGCAGAAACTAAGCACTGAGAACCATTGGAGCCTTGCTTGCCTGGGCATTTGCTAGGAGGGAAGACTTAAGG